CCCGCAGCTTCGGCTGGAGGCCTGGGAGGAAGCATGCAATGAGGGGTTGCTTAAAGTAGACCTGGAATGGATCCCAAATGGTTTGATGTGGACACAGTTTTACCCGAGTGCAGTACCTGTGTCAGAGAGGGGAATTCTTTATCTTAGAGGTGGTGAGGGAGTAACAGGAGTCTTAAAACCTTGGTCAGCGTGTGGCTGGCCTGAGCTGGGAGCTGTCTGAGCTCTCCTTTCTGTATCCCTTGTTACACTTGCAGAACGGGGATTTCTTCCTAAGAGCCATTCCCTACTGCTCTTAGTTGTCTGCTGTAATCAGACCCAGGCTATTGTTGAAGACAGAAAGTTCTAGAGACTGGGAAGCCAGGCGGTGGGGGTGCACACCTTTAATCCCAGCACTCGGGAGGCAGAGGCAGGCAGATCTCTTTGAGCCAGCTTGGTCTACAGAGTGAGTTCCAGGACACCCAGGGCTATACAAAAAAACTTTGTTTCAAAAAAAAAAAAAAACCACAATGGGAATACTTATTGCAAGAACTGTGGCAGCATGTATACGGAGGGTCTTGAGTCTGAGGCCAGCATGAGCTCCATCCAGAGGCCCCCACCCAAAGAACAAGACTCCTAAACAACTACAATACAAACAGACACAAAAACAAACTGTTTCCAAGGCTGGTGCAGGAGGATTGCCTGCTTGGGCTACAGAGTGAATTCAACACAAGTCCGGGCAATTTAATGAGGTCTTGTCTCAGAATAGATGTGAAAAGAGGGCAGGAGATATACTCGGAGAGTGCTTGCTGAGCATGTACAAGACCCTGGCTTTAGTGCTTAGCCTGGGGGTGGGCGTGGGGAGACAGACCGCTGTGAGCCTTGTGCAGTGGTCCAGCAGCATTACTTGTGATCAGATACTCTGACAGCAGCCTCAGGGAAAGGACTCACAAAGCTCACAGTTAGGTTCAGTGCAGCCAGGTGGGTAAGCAGAGTCAGAGGAACGGAAGAGTGGGTCATGTGTCACTCACAGTCAGGAGACAGGTGGATACACACTGCTGCTCTGTCCCTTTCTCCATCTCATACAGCCCAGGATCCCCTGCCCAGGGAGCTACCTCCTGTCATAAAGATTGGTCTTCCCACATCAGTTAACAGAATCAAGATAATCTCTCACAGACACTCAGGGCTAACATTCATCTAGATGATTCTTCAGAGGTGTGCTCAAAGTCCTCTCTTCTAGGTGATTTTAGATTTTGTTAAGTTAACACTGCCGGTTAACACTAAACACACTGAAGACTTGGTTAGAAACATAATTTTTATTTAAAAAATATTTTCTGTGGTGCTGGGGATAGAACCCAGGGCTTCACGCATACTGAGCTAGAAACATTCTGTTTTCTTTTGACATAGGGTCTCACTGTGTAGCCCAGGTTGGCCTTGAACTCATGGCAGTCTTTAGCTTCCAGAGTGCTGGGACCTACAGATAGGCGTTACCATACTCTGTTTATGTGGTCCTGGAGGTGGAACCCTTGTGTCCCACCTCTGATAGCCTAGACCTGCCAAGCAGCCTGAAGTGTGTTTGGCAGTGCTCAGATGACTGGTGGAAGTGTGGCCAAGCCTGAGGGAATGCTGTGCTGAGGCAGAGTAGGGCTCAGCGCTTGGCATGTGGTCAGTGCTTCGTAAGAGGCATCTCTTCCGTTTTATGTCTGTTCTCCCTGTTGGTCCTTTCTTTCCTTTGTCCCTCATTAGTTTTTTTCTGAGTTTTGGAGACAGGATTTTGGTAGGTATTCCATCCTTGCCTTGAATTCACTGTGTAGCCCAGACTAGATTTGAACCCATATCCCCCCCCCAGCCTCTCTAGCACCGGGATTACATGTGTGTGTCACCAAGCTCAGTGTTGCATCTGTAGTCTTACAGGCAGACAGGCTGGAAAGTTAGGCCTCAGGGCTCCAAACTCTGCCTTTCCTTTGGTGATTGCAGGCTCTCCCCATAAGGTCCTTTCCTGTTGTCACTGTGGGCTAGTAGAGGTTGCCACTGTCCCTTTTGAGTATTTCTTCACTTACCAGTCACAGATTCTTGTTTAGGTGTGTGGCTCCTGCCCTGCTCATGTGCGTCCTTGCTTCTCTTGGACAGACAGAGGAAGGAGCGGCCAGTGTCTCTTCCCTTGCTGTGACTCCAACAACAGCCACTGACAGTTCAGACAAGGCCCCTGTGGTGAAGGCTAAAGCTGCCCATGTGATCATGAATTCCCTGATGACAAGTAAGCGCCCTTCAGTCTCCGCAGAGTAAAGCCAGCCAGGGAGAACGTGGCCCTCAGCTGCTTGATGTCAGACCTGCTTTCTTGGGGCCCCACGCTCAGCTGGCTGCTGAGTCTCCTCAAGGAGGTCGATTTCCAGACTTGAAGGATCTCATTGGCTTAGATACAGTATCTCATTTTCCTGTATTACCCATTGGGCAAGTTACTTAACACTAGATATGGCACCTCGTTTTCTGAAGTAGGGGCTCCAGCTGGCAGGTTATGTTACGGTTGACTAGTCCACCAGCAGAAGCTTTGAATCCACTGTTACACTGGCCTGGGTGCTTGCTAGAGAAGGTGGCGCACTGGAGGGCAGCCCTGTGGCCTTGCACTGTTACACACGCGTGTGGTTTGTTTTGAGACAGGGTCTTGCTCTGTGCTCATTAGCTTCAAACTCAGAGCAGTCCTCCTGCCTTAGTGTTCATGAGGCTCGGTATTGCTCATGCACTACCGCCCCCAGCTACTTTAAAAAATTTACATATGCATTTATAAATAATTTATATATATTTTCACAAAAATTTTTGGTAGTGCTGCCCAAGGCCTTGTACATGTTGATCCACCAAGATGACCACCAGGTTTGGAGCCTCAGTTCTTTATTTTTTTATTTTTTATTTTTTTTTGGTTTTTCGAGACAGAGTTTCTCTGTGGCTTTGGAGGCTGTCCTGGAACTCGCTCTGTAGACCAGGCTGGCCTCGAACTCACAGAGATCCGCCTGCCTCTGCCTCCCGAGTGCTGGGATTAAAGGCGTGCGCCACCAACGCCCGGCTTGCCTCAGTTCTTTAGTTTTTAAATTATGTCATTGGTGGTCCTAATGAGGCTTGATGTGAGAGCTTTTTTAAAATTTTTAAATTACGTATACAGTATGTGTGCTTGTGAGTGTTTGGAGGTGGTGAGGAGGCCAGAAGGTGGCTTCAGATCCCTTGGAGCTAGAGTTACAGACAGTTGTGAGCTATCCAGTGTGGATACTGAGATTTGAACTTGGTCCTCTGGAAGAGGAGGAAGTGCTTTTAACTACTGATCCATCTCTCCAGCACCTCTTTTTAAACTTCTACCACAAGGTCCCTAGCTTCTTCCTTCTCAAGGCCATCCTAGTTGGTGAGGAAAGTTAATTATTCAGTACACACTGTATGTCAGCAGTAATACCACCCACTGCAGGGCCGAGGTGCCAGAGGCTGTCCTTGGTCTGCTCTTTTTCTCCTCCAGGGGGCATCAGTTTGTCATGGTCACTTCTGGAAAGCTGACTGAGTCCAGACCCACCTTTTCTCTGACTACTGCTTATATTGTGGAGCTCCACAATTCTGTCGTTAGAGAGCACAGCTGTGTGCTTCCGAGGGCATGGGCATGCGTGTGGTCACGGTATGCATGAAGGCTACACACCCGTAACATAAGAAAGGAAGTGGACTCTAGATCCGAAAGTCCACCTGGGGTGTGGACTGTTCACAGCTATCATGCTCGTGTATAGTTTGCAAAGTTTGTAGCTCAAGAAAAAAATCATCTCTTGTTCATTCCATATGAGTGACTTACACAATAATAAACTAAGCTGAGAGAACATCGTTAGCTAGGCCAGGAACAGCAACAGGCAGGCCATACCTAAGAAACGGTGTCTACAGGCCTGGGCTAGTTCGAGGAGGTGGCTGTGCTGTGAATCTGACTGGTACTTGGTGCCAGCAGGCAGGAATGTGACCCGCTTCCCTTTGGCATAGATTGTGTGCTAGTGGGAAGTCTCTTGGGGAGCTAGTGACTTGGGGATTTCCTGTGTGTGGGTGCCAGGTGCCTTCCGCTGGCTGTTTGCAAGTGAGAGGAGATGAGGCGCCCAGGGTCCCTGCGGGCAGCTCGCCTTTTAGTGTGCGGCAAGGGAATGCTGGTGAGGGGGCCCGAGTGTCAGAGTCGCTGTGCCCGCGCTCATCTGGGGCATTCTTACTCTCCACGGGTCAGTATGACCTCTCGCTTCAGGGAAGAACAGCAGGTATTTCATTGTCCTGGCTGGTTTCTGACTGGTTGGGAACTGAGCATGGCTGTTCTCTCTTTTCAGAACAGACCCAGGAGAGCATCCAGCATTTTGAGCAACAGGCAGGACTGAGAGATGCTGGCTACACACCGCACAAGGGCCTCACCACTGAGGAGACCAAGTACCTCCGCGTGGCAGAAGCACTCCATGTAAGCAACCAGACTCGTTCGTGGCTTCATATATGGCTGTGGGTTAGAAGTTTACAGCTTAGCTGTCTGGCAGCTGTGAAGAGTGACAAGAAGAGAATGGGCAAAGGGGCCAGACTCTCCTGCTAAGGTGGCATTCGTGGCTGAAGGCCTGGAGGTCTTAGCTGCAGATGTTTTGCTTGCTTGTATATAAAGTGAGGGCATATTTTGTTTACATGTGATATATATGAGAACTCTGAACTGTGAACTCTTACATGCCAGAATGGTTGACTATGAAGGAATAAAGAGAATCCCACAGTTCCAAGAGTTACAGTTCAGTTGGATAGCATCATTCTGTTTATGTAGAGGTGGGGTCTCTGTATATAAACCCAGGCTAGCACATTTTTTAATCAGAGTGTATGTGAGCATGGGGGTTTCCAGGTTAACCAGGGCCACATAGTGAGACCCTATTTCAAACAGAAAACTCAGGCTAGCCTTGAACTTGTGATCTTCCTGCTTCTGGCTCCCAAGTTGTTGGTGTTATAGGTGTGTACCACTATGCTCAGCTTATACTTAACTTTTTAAAAATTAAATTCGGGTGCCTCCTTTGGCAGTACATATGCTACATCTGGAACCATACAGAGAAGATTAGCATGGCCCCTGCGCAAGGGTGACATGCAAATTTGTGAAGCGTTCCATATTTTAAAAAAAAGTTAAATTCAGGACCTGGGTGTGCACACCTTTAATTCCAACATTTGGGAGGCAGAGGCAGGCAGATGTCTGTGTGTTTGAGGCCAGCCTGGTCTGCACAGTGAATTCCAGGCCAACCAGGAGTGCATTGATCGACCCTGTCTTGGGGGTTCAGAGATTATTTTGGTGAGGGTTTATTTAATGATGGTTAATTTTTTTTTCTTTGTGGGCACACATGGTGGCACACACATTTAGTCCCAGCACTCAGGAGGCAGAGGCAGGTGGATGACTGTGAATTTGAGGTCAGTCTGGTCTGCAAAGTGAATTCCAGGACAGCCAAGGCTATTACACAGAAAAATCCTGTCTGGAAAACCAAAGCCAAACAAACCAACAAAGTATTTTTTCTTTGTGCTACCAGTTATTAAACCCAGAGCTTCTTGCATACTGTGAAATGTTCTACCATTGAGCTACATCTCCAGCCCCTCACTCCCTGTCCTTTTGTTTTATGGATGTTTCTATGTATGGGCATTCTGTCTACATGTATGACTGTATGCCACTGTCAAACCTGGTACCTGCAGAGGCTAAACGAGGGCATCTGACCTGGAACTGGAGTTACAGATGGTTGTGAGCCGCCCACCATGTGGGTGCTGGGAACCAAACTGCGGTCCTCTGGAAGAGCAGCCGCTGCTCTGAAATGCTGAGCCATCTCTCTAGCCCCATCCTCTACCTTTTTTGAGATGCATCAAAAAAGTTGCATCTGTGTAGTTGAGGCTGGGCTCAGAGTCATGGTTTTCCTGCCTCAGCCTCTCAAGTGCTGGGATTCCTGGGACTGTCACTATGCCTGGCTATGATGAAGTATTTCAAGGACTTCCCTTAAAATTTTTTTCTACATTTATTAATTTATTTGTTGAGAGAGGAGAGAGAGAGAGAGAGTGCGTGCGTGGTTAATTCATGCCATGGAGCACTGGAGGTCAGAGAAAAAGCGTGTAGAAGTTGGTTCTTCCTTTCCACCCGTAGGTCTCTAGGGGTCAAGCCTTGCTGCCGGCCTGGCGGTGAGTGCCTCTACCCACTAAGCCATCTCACTGGTGTTCGCCTTTCTTTTAGAAAGGCCACTGCACATTGGATGGTGTTCTGTGACTTATGTGTTCACATAATCTTGACATTGATCCTTGGAGGTAGATACTAATTTCTGTTTTGTAAGTAAAGAAGATGCTGGACAGATAAATCAGTCAGTAAGGTGCTTGCTAAGGAGCATGAGGATCACTCCCTAGAGGCCATGTATAAAGTCACATATGGTGGCCCATGCTGGCAGCCTCTGTACTGGTGAGGTAAAGATAGGTGTTTTTGTGGAGCTGGCTGGCTAGCCAGCCTAATCTAATCAGCTCCAGATTCCGGTGCCAGACATAGTGATGCACGTCTTTACTCCTAGCACTTGGAGAGTTCAAGGCTAGCTTGATTTATATAGTTGAGTTCCAGGACAGCCAGAACTTACATAGTGAGATCCTGTCTCAAAAACCCCAATCCAACAAGGCGGGTGGCTTTTTTAGTGACACAAAGTTGATCTCCATATGCACTTCTACCCTGTGTGCAAACCAAGCAGGGCAATGGTGGCACACACCTTTAATCACAGAAACTCGGGAGGCAGAGGCAGATGGATCTACACAGAGAAGCCCTGTCTCGAAAAAACAAAAAACAACAAGAAAAAACCCAAGTAGCCATGACAAGTTCCTTTGGGCATAGGGAGAAGATAACCAGCACCAGGAGATGGTGCACAGTGTGTATATGTGGGGGTAGGGAGATACAGGACATTATGGATGAGGATTCAAGATGATCTGCAGCCTAAGTTTAAAAGTTGCTGCTGCTGTCGTTCATCTGAGCTTAGACAAGACAGAGACTTCTTGGGGGGGGGTGCCCTTCATCTTGTAACTGATTGTCAACTTACCCAAATTGCTGTGTTGAGAGACAGTCAGCTTAGGTCCAGCAGAGGCATGTCCCTTGTGGAGGACAGACACACTACTACAGAGCTTCAGCTTAGATCTAGAGCTCTAATTCTCCCTGCTAGACTGCCAGTGTGTTGGCAGTATTTTAACAATGCTGTGCAGGTGATTGGTTATGGGAGAGGAGGGGGAATGGGGCAGGTTTCTCAGAGGAAGCATTTCCCTAAGGAGGGCAGACAGCAAGCCCGTTTGAAAGCCTGAGCAGGGCAGGGGCTGTACTGAAAGTCAGGAGCAGAGCTGTAGGCCAGAGCTAAGGGGTTTGCAGCTTGGTGCCACTTCCCCTAAAGGACTTTTTCGGACATGAGTTGTAGTGCACAGCTTACACGTGAGGTGCTGTAGAGCACAGCTCTAGAAACATGGATCCATCCGTGTGGAAGAAACAAGCCTGCTCCCACCTGGTTAGTGTGTGTCAGAGTGCTTGCACCCAGACTGCTGCTGTGTGTGCTGTCTCTCAAAGTCTCTTGTCACCGTGTGAGCAGAAACTAAAGCTGCAGAGTGGAGAGACAACCAGAGAAGAGAAGCCCGCATTGACCCAGCCCACCCCGAGCAGCACCCCTCATTCCTCCCCCAAGCAGAAGTCCAGGTGAGTCCTTCCTTCAGGGAAGAGGGTGCTGAAGTGGACAGGAGAGGACATTCAGAAATATCTATGTACTTCTCCCTTCCAGAGGCTGGTTCTCCTCTGGCTCCTCCACAGCCTTACCTGGCCCTAATCCTCACACAATGGATCCTGGGAGTGGAAATGACAAGAATTCAGCAGACAAGTGGGGCCTCTTTGGAGCCCGGCCCCTGCAGAGATCTGACTCTGGTAAGGCAGCTTCTTCAGAAAGCGTAGCAAGGCCCTGGCTGCTGCTTGGGTGGGGACCTGTAATCATTTGCTTTTCCTTGGTAGGTTTTGCTGTCCAGGCTTACAAAGGTGCCCCGAAACCCTCTCCTATGGAGCTAATACGCACCCAGACCACAAGAGGAGGTGAAGACCCAGCAACCTTCAAGCCACCTAAGATGGATGTGCCAGTAGTAGAAGGGAAGAAACCACCACCTCGAGCCCATAATCTCAAAGCCCGTGACCTGAATGTGCTCACACCCACTGGCTTCTAGAATGCTGTCTGTCCAGGGACTTCACTTTCCCTGGACTCTGACATAGGAGTGATGTAGTTAACTGGAGGCCTGAGTGACATTGTGCAGATTGTCCTTGTGTGAGAGAAACCATTTTGCATTGCTTTCAGGTTGGTGGAAAATGTCAGTGGTGCTGAGTGGGACCTCTTTTTTAATCATTTATCCTAGAGAAGGACTTTGACCCTTGCTCTCCTAGGTAAATAGTGCTGGTGTGCTTCCAAAACTAGGCCTCTTGGTTCTTTTCCTTTGATCAACATGAGCAGTTACAAATCATGATGGAGTGCCCACCAACTCGTCTGGACAGCCATGGCTTCCTGATATGCTTTAGCCTCGTGAGTGGGCCTGGACTTGTCTGTGAGCTGGGTCAGCTCTTTGGCCACAGTTGGCAGACCCTGGCTTTCTAAGCTGGACCCCAGATTCTTTTCTTCATTAGTCCAGCGCACTTTGTCCTGGCCCCTGCAGTTGGAGGGCTGTTTGTCTGCTGTGTCACAGAACAAACTCTAGTCTAGTCTCCACAGCCTCTTTTGCACTTTAACATGAACTTAATTGAACTCCTAATCAAGTCTACTGGTCACATACTGATAATGGTTCCCTTTCCTCCCCTCCCTTACTGGGGATGAAGCCAGCTTTAAAACGCTCATGCTAGGCAAGTGCTCCACCACTGAGTTTCATCCCTGCTTCCTGGATCTTGTTTTAGTTGTGTGTGTTTTGTTTTTTGAGACAGGGTCTCACTATGTAGCCTTGACTAGGCTGGAATTCACTCAGTAGACTCACAGAGAAGATCTACCTGCCCCTGCCTCCCAGTACTGGGATTAAAAGGCATACACCACCACACCCAGCTTAAGCTTGTTAAAGAAGGTAATAGATACAATTGGATTATAGTCTTCATGTTCACCTGAAGTTGGTGTCACCTTATTCTGATAACTTTGAGGCCATTTTCCAAGTTAGCCTCATATGTTCAAAAACACATCATACGCTTGCTAGATCATTTTAGTCTGTTTACATAATGAGCTAACCTTCTCACAGAGAAGCTCTGGAGTCTAAGATTGTTGTAAAAATTAATTTATTTGTGTTATCTTGTATTGACAATAAAAATCTTTACTACTTTCTCAAACCTGGGTCTCTCTTGTCCATTCTGCCTGCCCCATAGTGGAGCTGGAGCATTGTAAACTTAGTACCTTTTGTGGTATCTTTTTGACGTCAGATGCTTCATTAACAGGCTCTATTCTTAGTTTCTTTGCCTGCTTCATTTTATTAGCTTTAATTAACTGGCCACAGAGTCATTCATAGGCAGTATGAAAAGTCTAATATAGAGTGTGCTCTATTCAGGAAAAACTGTCTTTCCAGAAACAGGGCTGTCAGTACCTTGACAGATGTAACACTGATGAAGATGGTTTAGCAGAAGGGGTCTTTCACATCTTGAATGGAAATGTTGAACATATAGTGCAATATTGTATTGCCTGTTTCAAAAGCATAGATAAATAATTTAATAAAAAATATATACACCTTGTATATTTAAACCACATTTGAGTAGGCTAGGATAAGGATTATAAAAAAAGATATACTGAAGAGTTATAAAGTTATTACAACCTACAGATAAATATATGTTTGGTCCTACGACATTCCTCTTCAGAGCTTCCAAGTAGCTGGCAACAGTCAGGAGGTATTCTTGGTACTCAGTGCTTACAAGTCTGGCTGCCTCAGTGCTGTGAGGCAGGCTCTGTGTCAGGGTTCAAGTCCGCAGCATAGAAGAGCAGCAGCTTCAACAAGTGCACTTTGTCCTGGAGCTGGGGGACTAGAGGTTCTCCCAGTATGTGAGTCAGGCGGCTGCGGAAGGCCTCAATCTGCTTCTCCACATCCACCACGGTGATGTCATCCCCTTGCTGAGGCTTGGGCTTAACTCTTTTGATGATCAAGTCTTTTCGATCAATCACTGAACTCCGCAGGTGCTCTGCAAGAGGGAAGGAATCAAATGTCTGCTCTTTGTTCTTGGGATTTAAAAGTTAAAAGTTGAATTTTATTAAGTAAGGCCTGGGCCTGGCTACTGGGCAACAAGTCAGAAGCTCAAGTGAGCTACTCAAAAAATTAAAGAACAAAACTTGTAAAACATAGTTATTGTGTGTGTATGCCATGTGTGTGCAGGTGCCCACAGAGGCCAGAAGAGGACATCAGATTAAACGAGTTATGAGGCAGTTTTGAATTGCCTGATGTGAGTGTGGGGACTGAACTGCAGTACTCTGGAAGAGCAGGAAATGGGTCTTACCTGCTGAGCAGTCTCTTCAAGAAACTTTACATAGGAAAATAGTTTCTTTCACTTGATGTAAACAGTAACTCTACTAAATTAAACTATAATAACCACTTAGGGAAAAGTTCATTTTTTAAATTATTTGTGTGTGTTTGGGTATGTCTTTCATTGAGGGCTCTAAAAAATGCAGTCTATAACTACTGTGGCCTGACAATGTACCCTTTGACATCTAGTTGTAAGGACTGGGGTGCAGGTAAGTGGGAAGTGCTTTTCCAGCATGCAGGAGGCTTGGGTTCACTCTCTTAACATCACAACCCCAGACCCCTGAAGTTTTAGTTTTAAAAGAGTATGAAACAGGAAAGGCCCTGTCTGCTCCCCAGCCAGGCAGACAGGCAGGCTGAAATTAAGATATCGGTGATGGAAGATTTACTTATTTTTCTCATACAAGAGTAATCAATTCTTAAGTTACGTATCATCAGCACTGTAGAGATACGAACCTAGAAGCTATGTGTAGCTCACCCTATAAACTAGAACTTAGGAGGCCAAGGCAGGAGGATAGCCATGAGTTCAGGGCCAGCCTGGGTGGGGAAGAGAGAGAGATATTTTAGCGCTAGTATTTAAAAAATGTCCTACACAGCATTCTTTGATGCAGAGCTGTGTAGGTCTGTCTATGAGGTCTCTTTACTTTCTATGTAACATCACTGAGTTAAAATCAACTTCAATAAGCATGGGCAAGTAAAATTTCCTCAATACTATGTGAGGATAATCTACAGACACCATGATAGATAATGCAACATGGATTTCCTAAGATCAAGGACATTTACTATTGTAACTTAGTGTAATTAATAAAAATAAGCAATATTAACAATAATATACACTGCAGATTCCCCAGCTGTGTTCTTCATTGTTGTAGTACTGGGACTGAACCCGTGTCCTTGCATGTGTTAGGAAGTGCTTTGCTGCCTCCACCTGAGTGCTGGCTTGTGCTGTGCTGGGACTGAACCCGGGCTTCATGAATGCTTGGAAATCACCCAACCAACTGAGCTGTAGCCCAGCCTTTCTAGTTATCTATTGACATGCCCATTCTTCAGCTTTACCGAGGTCCTCAATGATAATAAAGTCATTCTCACTTGATGAAGTCATTTGACTATGATCCTAGCCAACACGCGTGGCCTGATACTACCCAGTCTAACTTTCCCAGCAACTCTGGGAGACTTTAAGACTTTAAGGTTTCCCTTGCCACAGCCCTGGGGATTGAAGCCAGGAACCCAGACATTCAAGGCAAATGCTCTAACCGTGAGCTGCAGCCCCATCCATCTCAGGGCCCTTCGTGTCCTGTACAGGGCGTGTGTCCGTCTGGCCTCAGATGTGCTCTGTGTTTGTACTGCAGTGGCAGCTGTTATGAGAAGTCGGTTCACGACGGGATGACTTTTGCTTATCTGTACAACCTCCTAACTGGGGGACCACTGTATTCTGGCCAGTGTAACAAAATGCGAAGGTTTTCACATCACCAGTGATTCCAGCTATGCTCCCAGTAGCTGTCATCAAGGAACAATGATCTAAAATTTTTATTTTGTTATTGTTATTATTGGTTTTTGAGACAGGGTTTCACTGTGTAGCCCTGGCTGCCCTAGAACTTGCTCTATAGACCAGGCTAGCCTCTAATTCACAGAGATTCACCTGCCTCTGCCTCCTGAGTTTGAGATTAAAGGTGTGTGTCACCCCCACCCGGCTTCTATTTTTAAAACTTAAAAAAACAACAAAACTTACTTTTATGTGTGGGTTTTTTTTTTTTTTTTTTTTTTTTTTTGGTTTTTCGAGACAGGGTTTCTCTGTGGCTTTGGAGGCTGTCCTGGAACTCGCTTGGTAGTCCAGGCTGGTCTCGAACTCACAGAGATCCGCCTGCCTCTGCCTCCCGAGTGCTGGGATTAAAGGCGTGCGCCACCAACGCCCGGCATGTGTGGGTGTTTTGCTTCCATCTCTGTGCTATGCCCCGGAACTGGAGTTACATTTGTGAGTTACCATGTGGGGGCTGGGAATCGAACCTGGCTCCTGTATAGGGGCAGCAAGTGCTCTTAATCATTAAGCCATCTTTCCGGCTTGTATTATTATTATTTCTGAGACATACTGTTACTATATAGCCTTCATCTCTTTTTCCTTCTGCCTTAGTTCCTGGGTGCTGGGGTATAGAATGTGGTGTGGCTTTACTTAGGTAACAAGTGAGAATTCGCTGAGAAACTGCCCTGTGGTAATGTCCACCGTGAGACTTCTCACCTTACCTCTCAGCACATGCTGATAACTGGACAGCAGGAACTGCAGATGCTCCACCAGCTCATCCCATGTCTGCCACTGGCTCTTATCTGACTGCAGAGACAGTAAATGCAGTGGTGACGGATGCTTGCCATGTGCTCAGACAGCAGGGGTGGGGGTGCTCTGGGCGAGGAACCAAGGAGAAAGGAGGTTGTACCTGACACTTGAGCAGAGATGTGGAGTTGTTCAGGAAATACAGGGCCTGGGCCAGAGACAAGGGGAGACGGGTGGGTGTCTCACAACTGTGGAGGAAGATGATCTCTAACACTTTGCAGCGCAGAAGGTGGCTTTCCATAGTAGTAAAGAACATCTCCCTGTGTGGAGAAGAGGGAGTTAGGCAGGAGTTTGTTCCGAGAGCATATGGTTTGTTTCCCCATAGTGTTCTGACATAATGGAGGTCTACACAATCACATGCCGTGACAGAAGTGACTTACAGGACAAGAGACAGCCTGACACTTGGAAAAGACAAAGCCAGGTATACTGGTGCACATCCAGAGAGGAGGCAGGAGGATCATGAGTTTGAGGCTGGCCAGTCAGGGACCGAACCCAGGCGGGCCTGTGCTTCAGCATGCTGTCTGCCACTGAGATGGCCCCTTGACCTAAAAGTCCTAATGCTTTCATCAAAGATAATATACTCGAGGAAAACGGAACAACTTTAAAATACATAAATAGTGAAATAAAAACAAAATCAAGATAACTAAGACAATGTATCAAGGCAGGCATAATTCCCCATATGAAGAGAAGAGGAATAATTATGATTATCTGAATAGATGCTGAACTCAGCATTTATTTATTCTTTAGAAACTACCAGTGAAGTAGAAATAGAACTCTTCCTCAGCCTGACAAAAGGCACCTACAGACATCTGTAGCTCATCTTACATGTGATACTCAAAATCTTACATGTGATACTCAAGACTGAATGGTTCCCCTAAGGTGAGGAATGAGGCAAGATGTCTGCTCTCACCATTTCTCTCGTACACTACTTGAAAGTCTTGGAGTAAGACGAGAGAAACAGTCAAAAGTCATACAGATTGTAAAGGAGGATGTCAAACTCAATTTGCAGACAACATAAGTATATGTAAAAAGGGCTAAGAAAACTACAAAAAGACAAAAAAAAAAATCCTAATAGGTGAATTTGTCAAGTTTGCAAGATTTTATTGCTTTAAACAGTAAGGAAACCATCTTTCACCTTCATTTTTTTTAACACATTTTATTAATTTTGTCTGTGGGTCTTCATGTCATGGCATGCGGGTAGAAGTCACAGGACACCATGTTGGACTAAGTTCTTTTCTTCACTGTGCAGGGTCCAGTAACTGAACTCACACTGACAAGCTCAGCAGTGGGAACCTTTACCTAGTGAGCCATCCTGCCAAGGCTGCAAGATTTTATATAGTATCAACAAGCCACTGGAAAATGACAAGGCAGGCATTTATCAGGACTCATGAATACTACCTATGTAAAACTTTATAGTTTAACAGAAAAAAAACCCCCCACAAAACTACAAATTGCCGGGCAGTGGTGGCGCACGCCTTTAATCCCAGCACTCGGGAGGCAGAGGCAGGTGGATCTATCTCTGTGAGTTCGAGACCAGCCTGGACTACCAAGCGAGTTCCAGGACAGCCTCCAAAGCCACAGAGAAACCCTGTCTCAAAAAACTAAAAAAACAGAAACAAAAAACAAACAAACAAACAAACAAAAACCCTATAAATTACACCCGAATTAATAATGAATAAAGTAAAGGGTACTTCATATATCTTCTAGTATAATTTGGGTGGGTGGCTAATCTACCCCTCCTGAGAAAATATTAGTGTTAGCTTTTAATTATTTTTGTTTATTCCAAGTCTAAGCTTGAAGGATGATTTGTTAATCAAATCAATATGGTAGGGAGATTCAGGGTCCCCTGCCAGGATCCTGCTTCTTCCCAAGGAACTAAGCCGTGACTACAAATCCATCCATTATTTGGGAACCTCCTCCTTTCATCCCAAAGACCTAAATAGTCCCTTACTCCTTTCTTCCTTTTTCAATTAGCTTCAATTCTGTTTCTGGAAGGCAAAGATTAAAAAAAAATTAATAAGAAAATGACTTGCTGCCAGGCATTGGTGGCGCACACCCTTAATCCCAGCACTTGGGAGGCAGAGGCAGGTGGATCTCTGTGAGTTCGAGGCCAGCCTGATCTACAGAGCGAGTTCCAGGACAAATCCTGAAACAATACAGAGAAACCCTGTCTTGAAAAAAAAAAAAAAAAAAAGAAAGAAAATGATTTGTTAGTTCTCCTTTAATGGAAAAATTAACCAAAACCAAAACAAACTGATCAAACTAGACTTACCTCTGACTCCTCTCAGGAATGTCCAGCACAAACCCAAACATCATCTCAGCTATTTTATTGGAGCTGCAGGTAGGAGTCCTGTCCACCTCTACAGCAATGGACAACATCCTCTGAAGTTGACACACAATCCTGGAGCCAGAACACAGGGGACCAGTGAGTGGAAAGACCTGGTGAGAGGTTTCCTGAAGCTGGAGGTCCCCACCCACCAATGTGTACCAAGAACACACTGCTGGGTATGGAGGTGCACACCTTCTATTCCATCACTCAGAAAGCAGAGGCAGGTAGGCCTTTGTGAGTTCAAAGCCAGGCTCGTCTACATAGTGAATTTCATATGAGACTGTTAGAAACAAAACAAAACAAAACAAAAAAAAAAACCCCAAGCAAACAGCAACAACACAACAAAAGAACAGATTATTAGAGGGTTTACAAAGCACACATCAGGCCAAGAAGAGTAACCCAGTTATTAGCTTGTTTTCACTGAGCAATTCATCCACCTGATTTCTTTTGCCAGGTCATATGTGAACCTTTTAGAATGACGGTACACTATATAAATAAGATGCTCTCAAATTAAAAGCAGAACCATACAATCCGTAGGGTCTAGAGAACTTTAAAGACATGGTAACTTTCCCATTTCATAAATGAAGAAACAGGTCCAAAGTGACTAACTTCATTTTAATCTCTTTGTTCTAGAAGATGGCATGCATCTGCCATTTAATTTTTATGAAATTAAATTTACTTAAGTCCTTTTATGCATGAATATTTTTTGGGCAAATATGTCTATGCACCATGTGTATGCCTAGCTCAGCAGTTAAGAGCACTGGCTGCTCTTCCAGAGGACCCAGGTTCAATTCCCAGCACCCGAATGGTGGTTCATAACCACCTGTAACTCCAGTTGCCGGCAATCTAGAGACATTTCTGTAGCCCTGCCAGATAAATGTTCTAGCAGTTCTAATAACTGGTTTAGAATATCCCCTACTGGACCTTCTTCTCTCTCACCAGACGGAAAGATAGGGAGAGAGGCCGAGACCCAGCTGGGAAACTGAGCAACACTTCAGAAGGGTGAGTCTGGTTTGACATCAGTCACTAAACACATATGATGGAAGGACAGTGTTTCAGAAACAACAACAACCAAACCAAACCAAACCAAACCAAAACAAAACAAAAAAAGCAAATGGCAGGCAGTGACAAAATAATGGACAAGGGTAGGCCAGATTCTGGCTCTACAATGACTCATTTATAAGTTACCATATTGTCTCTGTCCAAATCTAATCTTTTTTTTAGACATAAGGACAATTTTATTAGAGTTTGAGAAAAAACAGGACAGGCAAGTGAGGTCTTGGCAGCCGGCCAGTTGGGAGGTAGGAGATGGATCAGAGTTAGAAGTCGAGGGGCAGGAAGGCTCATCAAGGGAAGTCTTTGAGTAGCTACAGAGGATGGGGGTGTCTGAAGAGGGAGCTGCTGTCCAGAGGGTCGGCAAAGCAGTCTTGGTTAGTAGCCACAAAAGGGAGCTGGAAAGAGGGGAAGCGACACTCTGAATGAGAACTGGAAGGCGCAGGCATGGGGCTTAGCAGCAAGGGCCTGTGAGCAGCAGCCCTCCCCTTCTGCTGGTGGAATCCAGGTCCTAATGCACACCTCACAAGGATTCCACCATAATTATACTCCTAGTCTAGATGAAGAGAATCAGTCTGTTACAAGAGTCGGTAATCTGGGCCAAGCTGTTGTGTGGGACCAGTCCTATTCTTTAAATACCAAGTCTTTAGAGCCCTGGGAGACAACCCCTTGCTCGCTCCTTACAGCTGATTGGTGTTCCTGGACAGGTTAGGCTGGGGAGACAGGTGGTCACTGCCAGCTTGCAAGACTCCTGTTCCTGAAGAAGTCTGAGTACCATCTGGGGGCTGCGTTAGTTCATTTTCAGTCACTGCTTTGACCAGCCACTTGATAACATCTCTGGAATACAGAAGAGGTAAGAAAGAAAAGGTATGCGCTGCTGTTTTATGTTCCGACTTGCATACTTACACTGGGCTCCCAGAAGAGTCCTAGGAGACTCCTCAGAGGCAGCCAAGGACTTTTAGGTTTATATATATACACACATACACACACACACACACACACACATATATATATGTTTTTTTTGAGGCAGGGTTTCTGTGTAGCCTAGGTGTCCTGGAACTCACAGAGATCTGTCTGCCTCTGCCTCCCTAGTGCTGGGATTAAAGGAGCACACCACCACTGCCCAGCTATTTTTAGTGTTTAAATAAGTCTAATGAAAATCACACATTTAACTGCAGCCTGGTTATAAATCAAACTGAAACATAACCCTCCTTCTGTTTGTCTTCTTCTGTGTCCTGGAGGCTGAGCCTAGGCCTTGTGCATGCACATTAGTCAAGCACTCTACCCCTGGGCTGTCTCCAGCCCTGGAGACTTTCCAGAAGTCATGTATTAGTTACCTTTACCATTGTGTGCCAAATCCCTGAGAGATACCGTAAGGGAGGAGGGATTTACTCAGCTCCCAGTTTTAGAGGGTTGGTCAATGGGTGCTTGGACATGTGCAGTCAAGCAGAAGAACATCCTGGGAGGGGCCTGTGGCAGAGGCTGCTCTTCACTTGGTGGAAAAAACACGGAAGAAGGGGATTGGAGCAAGTGGCCAGTGTGAGCTGTAATGTCCAGGACAACCCCATCCCATGACCTACTTCCCACAATGAGGTCAGCACCTCTAACTAATACCAGTGTATTGTGAATTCATCAAATTATTAACATCCAATTGGGCAGAGCCCAAGATCTAACTACCTCAGGAACACCCTCACAAACCACTGAGGTGTGCTTCCCACATGCCCTCAACTGGACAGTCAAAAGTGGCAGCGCAAACTGTAAGCACAGAGAAGCCCCTCTCGGGTAAAGACTGTCTAGCGAGGTGGAGAGCGGGGCGTGATGACCAGGGGGGTCCTCACCAGCTCCACCATCATGCGTCACGTACGAAGGTGAGAAGTAGGTTGGAGGGCACGTAGTGCGGACACTCTACACAGGGCTTAGGCTCTGTCAGCGAGGCAGAAACAGCTCACATTGCTAACATGTACTTTGTTGGTTTTCTCTGTGTAACAGCACTGGCTGACCTGGAACTTGCTTTGTAGATCAGGCTGACCTAGAACTCACTGAGATTCACTATTGCTTGCCTCTGTCTCCCAAGTGCTCAAAGGTATGTGCAACCAGCCCTAAAATTTATTTTGAAGATTACTGATGACTTAAGTAATGAAGATAAAATAGTTGAATACACACAATTGTTTTCCTCCTAAAACTACAGTAACTCTAGAGAAAACAGAATTGTAAAGTATTGAGCTGGGTCCACACCTTTAATTCCAGCACTCGGAGGCAGAGGCAGGCAGATCTTATGAGTTTGAAATCAGCCTGGTCTACACTGTAAGCTCCAGGCCAGCTGTATAGAGAGACCTCTGTGTCTTAAAAAACCAAAAATAAAAAAGGAACCAGAGACCTAAATAACCAAAACAACCCCACTCCCCTGCCAAAGGCAACCAACCTGGGGATAACAGTTATCATGTACAAAACAGAGAACAGTTATCAAAGATAAGGGATGTGTGGGCTGCAGCCCCTTTCTTTGTTTTTCTCTATACATTATTATTGATGGAATTTAGACGGCTCTATTTTTAATCTTATGTGTATGCTTATTTTAACTATATGTATGTCTATGCACCACATATGTATATGCCTGGTGCCCAGAGACTAGAAGGCTATCTTCTAGAACTGGAGTTACAGACGATTGTGAGCCACCATGTGAGTGCTGGGAATTGAATCCATGCTCTTAACTACTGAGCCATCTCTCCAGCCTGCTTCTGATTTCCAAAGATTTATTTATTTATGTGTATGAGTGCTTGATGTGCATGTCTGCCTGCATAACAGAAGAGGGCAGCAGATCTCATTATAGATGGTTGTGAGCCACCATGTGGTTGCTGGGAATAGAACTCAGGACCTCTGGAAGAGCAGCCAGTGCTCTTAACCTCTGAGCCATCTCTCCAGCCCTGCTTCTGATTTCTTAACAGCACTTTTGACAGCTAGAAGACAAATTTCTTCAAAGTTCTGCACAAAATTTATTTTTAAATATCTAAACTAAACTAAAATAATTAACCCTACATGATCAGATCCGTTCTTCTGACTTTCCAGCGTTTGGTATTTATCCCATCCCCTCGTAGTGTTGGGTTTGCAGTGACTGGGGACACCCAGCACATTAGTGTGTCTGTAGAGAACTTCCTAAAATACCTGGACTTCACACTCAGGGGGGCTCCTCTCTAAGGAACGGCCAATCTACTGATGAACTCAAAATCTGAGTAGACAGTTGGGAGATGGTGAAGCTGGGGGGGGGGGGGGCCTAGCTGGAAAAGTGGGTCACTGGGGATACGGCCTTGGGGTTGCATTCTGCTTTGGCCTCTTCCTTTACTGAGTTCCTTCGCTTCCTGGCTGTCACAAGCTGAACAGCTCTGCTCCTGCCATGACAGATTGACAACCTTTGAATCAGTCCTCTTTCCTTGAGCTGTCTTTCTCACACAGTTGTTAGTGATGAGCTGACTAACACGCTGCCTTTACTTGTTATACACTACAGACCCTATTCTTGTCATACCAGAGTCTAGTACCTGATTACCTGACATTGTGGGGCTGTTTGTCACACGACAGAACGGTGTTTGCAATGGACTGCTGTAGGTGCTGCCGCTGTCTCCTCAAGATCTGCTGGAAGTCATCTTCCAGGGTCTGCACTACATAACGTAGAAAGAGGACTCGTCCAGGCAGAGTTTGTCCCTGTGGAAGAATGAATAAGCAGTCAGGCTGGCTTCTCAATCTCTTGGATGACAGGAAACCGTGGGCTGTCATAAGCAAAAGTGCAAGTTTGTATGTACCAGGGGGATTTGTGGGAATTTGCAGGGACTTTGACTGAGTCATGGTCACAGAAACTACCGACTGGTTTCCAAAGTGGCTGGACCATTTGCATTCTCATCAACAATGGCAGCCTTGCTTATTCTTTACACTCTTGTCTAAAAACGTGTGGTAAAATAGATACTGTATTTCTATCTTAGCCTTTTAAAAAACAGTGTTACAGTTTGAATGTGTGTCCTCTACTGGCTGGTATTCTGGAGAACACCTTAGCTGGTGTTGTTTTAGGAGCTTTGGCACCTTAAGAGACCGGCTTAGGTGGCGTATGCCTTTAAAGGACATATCTTGATCCAGTCCCCTTCTTCCTGCTTTTTGAATGAGGGACTTTTCTTCACCACCGCACCCTTCTACTGGGATGTCTGACTCCTTAGTTTGGAACAGAGCCAGCCATGGACTGGGATCTCTGAAACCAAGAGCCCAAATAAAGCTGTCCTTTCAAATCCTTTCACGTGTCTGTCACTGTGAGGACAATTCTGGTATAAGTGTTCAGCTTATTCATAGTCATGCACAAGGGCACAAAATCAGCCATCCTGCCAAACTTAGTTACAGCTGCCGTACCCCACTCCTCCACCCTCTGGCAATTGCTGCTTGCTTTCCTCTTTTCTTCCTTGGCTTTTGCTCCTCGGCAAGGAAGAGGCACCATGGCCAAAAGAACACCTCATGGTAGTCAGAACAGAGATCCAGGGAGAACATTACATCCCAGAGTGCTTCTAGTAGCCTCCAACCAGTACAACCTCTCTGATGCCATCAACCATGACCCTACCAGCGGACTGCCCACCCTCGTTCAGTGTCCTTGTCCCCACCTTGCCTTTTTGAGACAGGCATCTGTGTGACCCAGTCTGGCCTTGAACTCAGAGATCTGTCAGCCTCCCTTTTAACTGCTAAATGTGCAAGCTGGGGGACAAAGCTTTAGTACATGAGCATTTATAGGACCACAGGAAATAGTAATTATATAATTTACTAATGGCAAGATATACATGCCTAGAAATTTATTCATTAATTCTTCTATATTATATTTCTTTGGCATACATTTGTTTCATCTCTAGTGATCTCTCTCTCTCTCTCTCTCTCTCTCTCTCTCTCTCTCTCTCGGTTTTTGAGACAGGGTTTCTTTGTGTAACAGTCCTGGCTGTCCTAGAAATCCCTTTAGACCAGGATGGCTTCAAACTCACAGAGATCCGCCTGTTTCTGCCTCCCAAGTGCTGGGATTGAAAGTGTGCGCCACCACTCCCAGCTTTTCTAATGATCTTCTTTTTCATCGCTTATTTAAATATTGTCCTTCTTCTTAAGTCTACCTAACAGCTTTATTTATTTTTATTTTTTGGAGAATGAACTTGGGTTGTGACCTTTTTCTGAGAATTAGGTATTTGAAGAAAATACCTTTTCTAGTATGTATAGATTGGATTTATTTAGGGTAAGACATTTAGCAATCAGCATGGCTTAAAATTCTGGACCTGTTCGTTTCTAGTAATACCTACTTTAGGTATGTACATATACCGTCATTCTGTTGTTTTGTGTGTGTGCACGTGCACATAACATATGCATCCATGCCCTTGCAGAGAGGGCAGAGGAGGACATCAGGTGCCCTGCTCTGTCTGTCACTTTGTCTTATCCCTCTGAGACAAGGTCTCTCACTTAACTCAAATGGCAGGCTGATGGCATGCAAGCCCAGCAATCCTCTTGTCTGTGCCCCACAGTCAGTGCCAGGGATACAAGTATATATACCACACCTATCTTTTTACGCAGATGCAGGGGGCTTGAACTCAGGTGCTCATGTTCGCACAGTAAGTAGTCTTACATGCAGAGCCATCTTCCCAGCCTCACACACTACACTTAAGAAAACTTTTTGGCTGGCAGAGGTGGCACACGCCTTTAATCTCAGCACCCAGGAGGCAAAGGCAGGGCAATTTCTGTGAGTTCAAGGCCTGCCGGGCCTACAAAGAGTTCCAGGATGGCCAGGGCTGCACAGAGAAACTCTGTCTCAAAAAACTGAAAAGACAGAGAAAACCTGTTTCAACAAAATGGAAGGAGAAAAGGGGCTCTTAAATGATCTTCTGACCTTTAACTACATATAGATAGTTGCAAGCCACATTAAAAGTATGGTATATGGTGACCGCAGGATGGCTCACCAAGTGAAGGCTGAGTTTAATCCCCAGACCCATAGGGCAAAAGGACAGAACTGACTTTTTTGTCCTGTGGCTTCCACACATGTGTGAATACACACATGCATATATACTCACATAAAGTTCTGGTTTGGTTTGGTTGAGACAAGGTTTCTCTGTGTACCACTGGCTGTCCTGGAACTTACTCTGTGGACCAGGCTGACCTTGAACTAGAAACCTGCCTGCCTCTGTCTCCTGAGTGCTTGGATTAAAAATGTGCACCACCATGCCTAGCTTGAAACAGGTTCTCTCTTGTTGTCTTTTATTGTTTATTCCAGCATACCTAACCTACAATCTCTTGGGGGATGCTGTCTCAACTTCTCAACTCACTATGCTCACTATAGGAGTGCTGGGATTACAGATTTGTAAACATGAGTTTTTTTTAACATACATTCTAGGGTCAAACTCAGCATGTCACAATTTTACCTAATGAACTATCTTGCTAACCTCCATGTACTGTACTTTTTATGTAAGTTAATCCATTTATTAGAGGCTAGGCGGGTCTCAAACAGTAACACTTCTATGGTCTTTCGAATCCTTTAGTCTTCTGATGGCAGACTTCACTGTGAAGGCAGAAAGTAGTGTTGTAGGTCCAGCAACTCTTAACTGTCTTAATTTCCCCAGGGTCTTGTTTCTCTCAGAGCTCTCTTGCTCCCCAGGTGTCTGCAAGCACCATTAGTAGTTTAACATGAAAGACATTATGGCCTGTTTTCAAACAACGGTAGGACAGAAAGTAATCTCTTGAGCAGCTCTCAGACAAACTGGCACACTTGGGCTATGGTAAATCTGTTCCCAAGGAGGAGCTGGGGAATGAATGCTTTCTTTCTGGATGTAGCTTGTTACACTGAGTAAGGGGAAGTACCTGAGCATGGTAAACACAGAATTGCTATCTCTGTTGATGGAACACATTCATGGTCATCTGTAAGACTGTGTTCTGCAGCTACTCTGGTCTCTGGAGCTCTCACAAGTCTTGTGGTCCATATGTTGTCTGGTGGTTTGGATAAGATGCCCCACCTAAGTCTCAGGCATTTGAATACTTGGTCCCTGGTTAGTGGTTGTTTGGGAAGGATTGAGAGGTGTGGCCTTCTTGGAGGAGGTGCCACTGGGGGTGGACTCTGGGGTTCCAAAAGGCCCCCACCAGTCCCATTCTCTGCCTCCTGCTTTTGGATCAAGATGTGAGCTATCAAGTGTTCCTGCTGTCACAACTTTGCTTGGTCAGCAGAGACTCAGCTCTCTGGAACCATTAAGTCACTGTTTTTTTGTAAGAGTTCTGATATGGTCATGTCCTAAGCGTTTTGCACTTGGGACTGAGTATCTGCTGGCCTTGGTGCACCCAGAGACCACCCTCCCTCATCCTGTTGGCCTTGGTGCATGCAGAGACCCTCCCCCTCTTCCCACAGACTATGACCATTGGTGTTTTTGGATGAATGTGGATGACTTTAGGACTTTGAACTAAAAAAGTGATTAAATGCTGTAAGAGTTTAATGGGCCAACCAGGTAGGAGCCTGGAAGGCAGTGCAGAGAGCCATGTGGACTTTGGAGGCCCATTCAGAGATTTCAAAAGGGAACAATATTTGCAACTGGGCTAGAGACTGTTCTTGTGATATTTTGGCAAAGAACATGGCTGCTTGTCCTAACACTCTGCCAGAGGCTACATTTTGAAGTATTAGATGAGTTTTCTTGGAAGACATTCTCAAATGGTCCAATGCGCCCCGTGTCGCGGTTATTAGCAATCACTCTTACTCAAGTCTACCTACAATAATGAAAGGCAAGTGGGGCAGCAGGAAGAAATATAAAACGTTCAGTTTGAAAGAGGAGCATCCAGGAAACTGGAATGTTGGAACTAGCTTGTGCTGAAAGACAGGAGAGTAAGAAGGCCTGACCACATTAGAGTAAATGGAGGGCACCTTCACAGCTCTGGAAGCTGGACCGAATGTTTTTTTTTTTTTTTTTTTTTTGGTTTTTATGAGACAGGGTTTCTCTGTATTGTTTTGGAGGCTATCGGTCCAGCCCGGCCTCGAACTCACAGAGATCTGCCTGCCTCTGCCTCCCGAGTGCTGGGATTAAAGGCGTGCGCCACCCCCGCCCGGCAGACCAAGTGTATTTTGCATTGTGATATGGCCATGAGATTACGGGGCCGGTGTGTAGTGTGGTCGTTTAAATGAGACTGGCCCCCAAAGGCTCATACATTTGACTACTCGGTCCCAGCTGGCAGGACTGTTTGGGAAGAATTACGAGGTGAGGTGTGGCCTTGTTGAAGAAGGAATGTCACTGGCGGTGGTCTTATGATTTCAAAAGCCCCCTTCCATCCTTCCTGTTTGTGGATCTAGATGAAAGATCTCAGCCATTGCTCCAGTACCATGCTCCTTGTCATGACAGTGATGGGCTCTTATCCTCTGGAACCGTATGCCATAAATAAACCCTTCCTTCTTTTATTTTATTATTGGTTTTTCAAGACAAGGTTTCTCTGTATAACAGCTATGGCTGTCCTGGAACTTACTTTGTCAACCAGGCTGGCCTCTGCCTCCCAAAAGGCGTGTGCCACCATGCCCTAAACTCTTTCTTCTAAGTTGTCCTTGGCCATGGTGTTTTATCACAGCAATAGAACAGTGACTAAGACGTGCTGCTGACACAGTGTCTATTGAACAGCAAGGGTCTGGAGCATCTTAGTTTGCCATCTTACTGATGTCTCTATTACTGTCACAATGCCTTGTTATTCCACTCCCATCTGGAATTACTGTTCCCTTGGTTTTCTAATCACTGTCACCTTAGAATCTCTATTATTCTTTTGGATTCCATCTTGTGTTCCTGGGACCCCACACTTCCTTTTCTTGTTGCCACTCAATCTCCTGAGAAACATAGTAGGAGATATACTTTCAGGGTTTGCATTTCTGGAAATTTATTTAATGTGTATGAATTTTTGCCTGCATGTGTACCTCATATGTTCCTGTTGCCCACAGAGGGCAGAAGAGGGAGCCAGATCCCTTGGTATTGGAGTTACAGATGAATATGAGCTACCATGTGGGGGCTGAGAACTGAACCTGGGTCTTCCACAAGACCAGCCAGTGCTCTTAACCACTGAGCCATCTTTCCAGTCCACACCTTTATTTCATCCTCATTCCTAACTCAGAGTTTGTCCGTTTAGAACTTTAAGTAAAAAGTCACTTGTTTGATTACTTTAGGGTAAGCAGCTAGATTAACTCCAACAGTTAAAGTTGGAGGTCACTAAAGACAGAATGTGGAAAATATTTTTCTGGATTACTAAGTTTATAGCATCGGCTTTTGTTTATTACAGATGGTTCATGCCATCTCTTTAGACTTTTTGCCTACTGTGTTCCAGAATGTAGGAGTTAACAGCTCCACAAAACGATTTTCAGCTGTCACTCATCACCCGCGCTGGACTCATCCATCCCTGTCAGCATATGCACTGCCTTCTCGGTGGAGAACCTGTGTGATGCTCTAAGTGAAGATTTCCTTCCCCGTGTGCTCCAGCTCACAGCTGTCTCTGCCCAGCCTCACTACTCATCACTCCCATGCTTTCCTTGGACTCTGGCATCTTGAGTCACACGCATCGTCCTTCCCTTTACTTTCATAGCTAGGGAGCATAACTGCATTTTAATATTTATTTACTTGCAGTACTAGGGTTTGAATTCAGGATCTCATGCATCCCACCATTGAACTGTATCACTAACCCTTTTACTAATATTTTTAGTTTGATCTCAAGGAGAGAAGACATGAATATACTAATATTTGGGTTGGGAGACAGCATCTTTTTTCAAAGTCTTTTTTTTTTTTTTTTTTTTTTTTTAGTTTTTCGAGACAGGGTTTCTTTGTAGCTTTGGAGGCTGTCCTGGAACTCACTTTGTAAACCAGGCTGGCCTCGAACTCACAGAGATCCGCCTGCCTTGCCTCCCGAGTGCTGGGATTAAAGGTGTGCACCACCACCGCCGGCTTTTTAAAGTTATATTTTGGTAAGGTAAGACTCTCAGCAGGAAACAATGGCTTGGTGGGTAAAGGAGCTTGGTGACAAGCCTGATAGCATGAGTTCAATCCCCAAGACCCACAGGATGGAAGGGAGACCAACGCCTGCAAGTTGTTCTCTGACCTTCTCACACTCCATGTGTTCTCAAATATGCAACCATACTCACACCCACGCACAAATAAATATAAGTTAAAAATTCCTCTGCAAAAGATCTGTCTTCATCATTATGTTACCTCTTCCTCCATGACGTAGGTAAGCAGTTTCCAGTCCCATTCCACTGTCTTGGCATTGGCTGGATGCAGCCTGAAAGTCAAGATACATCAATCAGAATTCTGGAGAACTTAGTGGCAGAAGGGATAGGGTCTGTAAGATGACAGGAGACAAACATCTTCTTACCCTGAGCACCTGGCCTCCCCCAGTGCCACACCATGTCAATCTCTGGCCACCATAGCTACTGAGTTTTACCTACCAGAACTGCATGAGACATGTGATTTGTTGATTTAATAATATCCTATCATTCAGTTCACTGTGATTATCTCAAAAATGGACTCATTCATGATAAGCCAATTATAATTCAACTCAGTTTCAAAATTGTTGTGTAATTATGGAAGTTGATTTTCTAACCAAGTATCATTAAAATCTGAAGCTGAGGACTATAGTGTAGAGCCCCAAAACCAGACCAAGGCAGAGTTGAAAGCTGGGTCCCAGTAGCCACTTATGAAAACAGCATCAAATAACATCTTATTCTCAGGTTTCTAGTGAAAATAAGTCATTACATTCTTTTTTTTTTTTTGAGGTGTGTTTTTTTTTATTAAGTATGGTTTTTTATTTAAATTAGAAACATGCATGCTTCAAATGTCAATCCCAGCTCCTCCCTTCTCCCTCCACCAGCCCCCCCAACCCCCCGCCCAATCCCCACATCCTTCCCCAGGGAGGGTGAGGTCCTCCTTTGGGGGATCTCCAAGAGTCATTACATTCTTTTACCAGCAATTGAAGCCAGTTTTGATTGGGTTTCCTGTCACTTGCAACGGACATTATTAAGAAACCCCCCAGGTCAGCTTAATAAAGCTTAGACAAGGAAAGCTATGCCCTGTGTCTACATTCCCTACAAGACTTGGTCAAGCAGCAGTAATGACTCCTACTGTTGAATTTTCATGAGAAGCATGTAGGCCTCCTTGAGGACATCCACAGTCTCAGAGTCACTGAGCAGGATTTTCTGGATGATGTGAGCCACAATTTCTCTGGGTGGGTAATGTTGGGGTGAAACAAAGTCCATCAAAAACTGCACAGTCCCCAAAGGAAAGTTTTCTTCAATAGTGTTTGTCACCATTCTTAGTCTTCGATGAGGGATGGGTTCTAATTTCTGACCCTTGCTCTGTAGAGACAAAGAGTAGATAGATATCAGGAAGGGTTCTACACTTCCTAAAAGCAAGAAGTTCAGCAATAGGTTGAAAACAGCAAAATTTCTATGCACTTGAAATATTTTATTAAAGAGAGAAAAGATAGCTCTACTCTAGTGGTGGTGTCACCTTTAGTCCCAGCACTCGGGAAGCAGAGGCAGGTGGATCTCTGTGAGTTCGAGGCCAGTGTGGTCTACAGAATGAGTTCCTGGTCAGTCAAGGCTACACAGAGAAACTGTCTTGAAAAATAAACAGCAACAACAGAAAAGTAACAGAAAGGCAAATATCAAAGAGCCAAGAACAGTCAGAGAGAGGCGTTCCTGACCTTCCTGCCTCCACCTTCTAAGTGCTAGGATTATGGGGCAGTGAAAACGGTATAGTAGACATTTTTAGAGATAAGAAGATTTGAGTTGGGCTGCAGAGATAGCTCAGCTGTTAAGAGCAGTGGCTGCTCTTCCAGAGGTCCTGAGTTCAGTTCCCAACAACTACACGGTGGCTCACAACCATCAATAGTGGGTTCTGATGCCCTCTTCTGGCATAAAGTTGTACATGCAGATAAAGCACTCGCATACATTGAAAAAAAAAAAGGCTAGCACTTTGTGTTGCTAGAAGAATTAATACCATATTTCTTCCCCCTCCTTCTCTCCCAATCTTTCTCTTTTCTTTTTGAGAGGGTATCACATAGCCCAGGTTGATAGGGAATTTACTATGTTTGCAGCAGACACTGGCCTTGAACTCCTGATCCTTCTGCCTCCAGCTCCCAACCACACTATGCATGGTTTTTAAGTGTTACAGTCTATAAACAACAAAAACAATAACAAATACATGTTAAAAATACCAATCACTAAAAAAATTAAATGGTTATATATAAAAGGCAATTGAAAAGGGACTACATAGAATTATTTATAATAAATGTTGTCTGATAGTACTATAGGTGACTTTAAATACATTAAAATAACTTTTAGAGCTGGGTGTTGGTGGCGCATGCCTTTAGTCCCAGCACTGGGGAGGCAGAGGCAGGTGGATCTCTGTGAGTTCGAGACCAGTCTGGTCTACAAGAGCTAGTTTCAGGAAAGCCTCCAAAGCCACAGAGAAACTCTGCCTCGAAAAAAACAAAATTTTAGAAAGCACTATTTACAAAGATTTGTTTTTATTTTTACTTCATGTTCGCATGTGTGGACCTGTGCATGTGAGGATGGTGCTGGAAGTCCAGGAGGTTCTGCCCCTGGACTCTGCCTGCCTCTGCCTCCTGAGTGCTGGAATTAAAGGTGTGCACCACCACCAAGTAATAATGCTTCATGCTATGAGACTGTCACAACATTTTTGTCCATATGTATTTAATTTAATTCTCATAGGTCAATGAAGATTAATGGGAAATGGTATTCACATTAAAGTGTTTAAATTTAATTTCTACATCCAGATTCTAAGGAATGATTTGAGGCATTGGAGTGACAAGGGTCTCCTTTCTCTCTGTGATATGGGAACTGTATGGGTGTCAAGAAGAGAAGGATAAAGAGACGGAAGACAAGAATTTGATGGAAACTAACATTTCACACACATCGTCTATTTGGCGGCCCTCTGGGGTGTGTTTTAATCTCTGCTTGACAGACAGGGAGGCTAAGACCCACAAATGAAAGTGACATGTGTAGCGCATGTGTGGGCTGAGATCTGAACACAGACCTCACTTCATCTTCAAGTGGAAGAAAGAGAAAAATTCATTTCCACTAGGCCCATTCTCTAATGCAGGGATTCTTATCATAGTATTTTTATCCAGGGCCTATGGGAAGAAGACATAATCCCCAGGGGGAGGGAGTATGCTAGCTTACCTCCCGTGTGTCTTTATCTGGTATTAATGTCTGGAAGAAGAGATGATGTACTGGAGGTCGTAAGAAGTATTTCAGTCTATGCAGGCAAGGTCTATTGTATACCCCAACTTGTGGTATTTGTCCTTGTATCTGGGCAGACCCAGGGTTGGCAAGCTGTGGCAATGATCTCTCTTTTTTGGCTAAACTGTCTGTGACAGAGAGCCAAGGAACTTTTTCTAAAGAAAATTCAGACTGTGGAGATAGTGGGCTGGCAGAGCAATTCGGAGAGGACAGAGCAGAGATATCCATAGGAGTGTCACGATTCTGCACTTCTTCCGGAGAAGACTTTGGCTTGTCTCTTGCTAAGTTCAATAACTTTTGTGGTAAGTGAGACATATCTCCTGGTAAGTGTGGTGTATCTCCAACTGACTGTGGTACACCTCCTGGTGGTGGTATCACATCTCCTGATGACTGTGACATACCTCCTGGTGACTGCATCACATCTCCTGATGATTGTGACACACTTCCTGGTGACTGCATCATATCTTTTGATGACTGTGTCATACCTGATAGCTTCATCACACCTCCTGCTGGCTGAGTCACAGCTCCTGCTGGCTGAGTCACACCTCCTGCTGGCTGAGTCACAGCTCCTGCTGGCTGAGTCACAGCTCCTGCTGGCTGAGTCACACCTCCTAGTGATTGTGTCATATCTGATAGCTTCATCACAGCTCCTGCTGGCTGAGTCACAGCTCCTGCTGACTGAGTCACACCTCCTAGTGATTGTGTCACACTTCCTGATGACTGTGTCACACCTGATAGCTTTATCACACCTCCTGCTGGCTGAGTCACACCTCCTGCTGGCTGAGTCACACCTCCTGCTGGCTGAGTCACACCTCCTGCTGACTGTGGCACACCTCCTGCTGACTGTGGCACAGCTCCTGCTGACTGTATCACACCTCCTGCTGACTGAGTCACACCTCCTGGTACCTGCATCACTTCTGGTGACTGTGGCACATCTCCCAGCAGTGGTGGCACATCTTGCAGTGACTGCAGCACATCTTGTAGTGACAGTGGCATGTCTTGCAGTGACCATGGCAAGTCTTGTGGATATGACAGGTTTTGAGGTCGGCCTGGAACGTCTTGAGGTAGGCCCAGAGTATCTTGGGGTGGGTATAGTGGGTGTTGAGGACGCCATGGTAAGTTTTGACATGTGCCTGGCATGTTCTGCTGAGGGCATGGCACATCTTGAGGTGGATGAGGCAAAGCTTGGAGCTGACACTGCACAGTTTGTGACGGGCATGGCAAGGCTTGTGACGGGCATGACACAGCTTGTGATGGGCATGACAAGGCTTGTGGGGGACATGAGGAAGCTCGTGGTGGACATGGTGAAGCTCTTAGTGGGCATGATAAGGCTTGTAGTGGGCATAGCAAGCCTTGTGGTTGGCAAGGCATATCTTGCTGTGGGCATGGCAAAGAGGCCCTCTGATTGCTGCTGCTACTGTTATTGCTTGTTGAGGAGAAGGAGCTAACATCTGAAGAGAGCTGCAGGCTTGTCAAGAAGCTGAGGTCACCTTTGTACGCGATTGAGCTACAGTTTGGCTCTGGTGGATAAACAGAGTCCTGGTTGATAGATGTAGGAGGTCGAGAACCTTCAAACATATTTTCCTCCAACAAATCCAAATCTACAGGATCATTGTTGACGATTCTTGGTGCTGCAGGCTGAGAGCCTCTGTCCCCAGGGGCTTCCATCGCCTCTTTGCCTGACAGACTGGTACATGTCTGAAGACTGGGTAGCTCCTTCTGAGAGGAAGCTACAGGTTCTAAAGTCAAATCAAGAGTGGCAATAGGTCTATTTTCTTCCTCATTTCTCGTCAGATCAATCACACAGAGTCCATTACGATCCTTTGCCCTTGTTCTGGTCTCTCTAGTTAGGTCAATGAAGTCCTGTTAAAAGATTGTGGGAAGAGTGAGAGAAGAGCACATTAACTTTATTTGAGAAGACTGAGGCTTTAGCTTTCAACAGTGAATATCACTTTACTTTCTCATTTCATTGATATTTTTATACCTGCAGTGCTAGTCACTGAACTCAGGGCCTTGTGTGTGCTCGGTAAATATTCTACCTCTGAGCTAATTCTCAATCTTCCTATATATCTTCTATAAGTATTAGTTTTATGTTCTTTATGTAATATTTTGCTAATGTGTTGTGGGATACTATTTTAACTAAGTAAAGATGTGTTAACATTTGTTTATGTTGCAGAATGTTACTTTAAGTTTATGCTGCATTTGTTTAATGATGTAAGGATGTGTTACATTTGTACTGAATGCTTAATTCGGTAAAGATGTGTTTCATTTGTTTTACCTTGCCTGCCTAAGGCACCTGATTGGTCTGATAAAAAGCTGAACAGCCAATAGCTAGGCAGGAGAGGGATAGGCAGAGCTGGCGGGCAGAGAGAATGACTAGGAGGAGAAATCGAGGCTCCAAAGAGAAGGGGAAGAGAACAAGGGGGAAAGAGAAGGACACACCCAGGGTCAGAAGCCAGGCAGCAGACAGGCAGACATGGAGACATCAGGGAAATAAGATAAGATATACAGAAAGCCCCGAGGCAAAAGGTAGATAAAGAGAAATGAATTAAAATAAGAGCTAAGGTAAGGCTGAGCATTCATAACTAATAAGAAATCTCTGTCATGATTTAGGAGCTGGTTAGTGACCCAAAATGAAAGCCTAGTACACTAATATCAAAGCTGTCAACTTCTTCTGTACATTCATAAATTATCCAAATGCAAGATATATGTGAGAATGTGATTTTTTTCCTGATCCAAGAAAGACAGGTAACTAGTAGAGAATATTTTATTCTTCACAAACAAAAAGCAGCATTTGCTTGAAAAGCAAATCTCCAGGATAATTTGCAATAGAAACTAAACAAGGTGGTAAGTTAATATGAGGACCTAGGTACTAAGAACACACTGAGTGTCACAGGATCCAGGAGTCCCAAAGATTCCTAGTCTCACCAGGAATCTGTCAAGGATGGACATATAAACAGAAATGGACTTATGGCCGGAGGGGGGGTAGGGAGGGGGAGAGGGACGCAGAGAATTGAAAGTACACTCCTAAAAGGGAGAGAAAAGTAGGCAACTTAGCGGGATAATTGAGTCTTTAAGGGCTATAGAAAAGTCTCCCACTAACCCTATGCATATGTGAGTGTGAGTTTTAGTCAATCCTCTCCTCTGATTATCAGTGTCCTCCCAGTTTCCAGAAAAATTCCCACAGCTTGTCACTCTGCTGCCTGAGAAGGTCGCAGAGATCACCACATTACTCTACTTCTGTTGGTTTCTGACCCTGTCTTTTTGAGACAGGTTCTAAAGCCAAAGCTAGCCTCAAATTTGTGGCAATTCTGTCTCAACCTTCCTGTAAGAAACACAGATATTTATTACTATAGTTTTCAAGAAAGTTATTGTTAAAGAAACTATCTCTTTTCTTTTTCTTTTTTTAAAAGTATTCATGCATGTGTGTCCTGCTGCCCTCAGATCCCCAGGATTGGGGTTCAGATGGTTGTGAGCTGCCAGGAGGATACTGGGAATTTAACCCAGGACCTCTGGAAATGTAGGCAGTGCTCTTAACCACAGAGCCATCTCTCCAGCTCCTATTTCTTAAAGTGTTAGTTTTTAAGCCTATATTTAGAATAGCTGATGCTCTTCATTTCTTTGTGAAAATATGTATTTCCACTTGATGTCATTTGTTTTCAGCTTAAATATCTTGCAATGCAGGAGTTCTAGTGAAAAGTTCCGTTTATTTTTAGTTTGCTCTTATTCTTTTTTTTTTTTTTTTGGTTTTTTTTTTTTGGTTTTTACGAGACAGGGTTTCTCTGTATTGTTTTGGAGGCTATCGGTCCAGCCCGGCCTCGAACTCACAGAGATCCGCCTGCCTCTGCCTCCCGAGTGCTGGGATTAAAGGCGTGCGCCACCACCGCCCAGCGTAGTTTGCTCTTATTCTTGAAGGTAATTCCGTAGATGCAGAATTCATTTTTAAATTAATTTTTATTTAAATTAAAAACAATCTTATTTTATATACCAATTCCAGTTCCCTCTCCCTCCTGTCCTCCCATTTCCCCCACCATCTCCCCATCCCACCCTCCATCCACTCCCCAGGGAGGCTGAGGATCATCAAAGTCTGTCACACCATTTGGGGCAGGACCTAGGCCCTCCCCCATGTATCTAGGCTGAGAGAGTATCCCTCCATTGGGAATGGGTTCCCAAAGCCCATTTGAGCACTAGGAATAACTACTGGTTCCACTGCCAGTGGTCCCATAGACTGCCCAAGTCCTCCAACTGACACCAACGTTCAGGGGTCCTGGTTTGGTCTTATGCAGGTTCCCCAGCTGTCAGTCAACACAGAATTCTTAACTGAAAAGTTTCTTCCTTTCATTATTTGAACATGTCAGCCTGAGTCTTTTGGCCTCCATAATTATAAGATGTTAGCTGTTAATTGTATAGCTGTTTTCTATGTGTAACATGTTTTCTCTGTGTAGATAAAAAAGAAGTTTTCTTTGTTTATTCTTCCATGTGTCTTATTTTTGGGGTCTGTATGTTAATTCTCCCACAATCAAATCTGATAAATTTCATCAATTGTTTTTTCAAAAACATTTCTCTCATCCATTCCTGCCCTGTTACAGCTTTATGATGATGATGATGATGATGATGATGATGATGATGATGATGATGATTTTGGTTTTTCCAGACAGGGTTTCTTTGTGTAGCAGACTTTGGCTGTCCTGGAACTTGCTCTGTAGACCATGCTGGCCCCTAACTCCCTAAGATCTTGCCTGCCTCTGCCTCCTGAGTGCCAGAATTAAAGGCAAGTGTCACCACCTGGCTGTCCCTGCTCTTTAAGACTCCATCGCACACATAATACCCTACATAACTATGTGCTTATTGAGTTTATTTAATCTCCCTGCTCATTCTGTTTTTTTGTTTTGTTTTGTTTTTTTACAAGACAGGGTTTCTCTGTATTGTTTTGGAGGCTGTCGGTCCAGCCCGGCCTCGAACTCACAGAGATCTGCCTGCCTCTGCCTCCCAAGTGCTGGGATTAAAGGCGTGCACCACCACTGCCTGGCCCATTCTGTTTTTGAACTTGGTGATTTCTATTCCTTTGCCCTGAACTTCCACATTTAACTGTCTTTCCTGATGAGCTCACCTAGTATATTCTAAAAAACATTCTGTTATGGCAGATCTTCATCTCTCCCTCCCCTCCCCTCCTCCAGATCAACCCCCACCCCAGTTTTACAGCGGACAACTTACTTCAGCTTCCCACCCACCACACCCCCATCCCCAGTGGCTCACACAGACCTTCCCCTCCTAACTTCCCTCCCACCACTCATTGCTTTATCCTAGCCCCTAACTCCAGCAGGCAATCCCTGGGAACCTGAGAAGCAGCCAGGGATCAGAAGATATCAGCAGATGGAAAGATCTCCCATCAATAGGATTCATACAAAAGTAATCCACAGATTCATTGTAATTTCCATGAAAATTCTAACACAGTTCTTTACAGATCTTGAAAGGACAATGGAAAAACAAAAACCCAGGGTAGCTAAAACAATCCTGAACAATAAAAGAACTGTTGGAGGTATCACCATCCCTGATTTCAAACTGTGCTACAGAGCTATAAAAATAAAAACCACATGACACTGACACAAAAACAGACATTGGTCACTGTAACTGAACTGAGGACCCAGACATAAATCACATACCTATGGACATCTGATTTTTGATAAAGAAAGCAGAAATACACACTGGAAAAAGCCTCTTCAGCATATGGTGCTGGTCACACTGGATGATTGCAATGTAGAAGAATGCAAATAGATCGACACACACTTAGCACCCTGTACAAAACTCAACTCCAATGGATTAAAGATACCAATACAAAGTCAGACACATTGAACCTGACAGAAGAGTAAGCCGGGAATAGTCTTGAACTCATTGGCACAGGGAAGGACTTTGACCAGAACACCATGAGCTTAGGCACTAAGATCGACATTAACAAATGGTACCAAATGAGACTGAAAAGGACACCAGCGTTCAGACTAAAGTGGCCGCCTATAGAATGGGAAAAGATTCTTACCAACTACACATCCCACAGAGGGCTGATATCCACAATACATTAAAAAAAAAAACCTCAAGAGACTAGATATCAAGAAAACAATCCAATCAAAACATCTGGTAGCATATATTACATTGTAAAAGAACTTGTCCCACAAACATCCCATCATAGTTGTCAATAGCAAAAGCAAAAGAGACCCAGCTGAATCATTTTTATGTTAGAATAACATGAAGTTGATAAATTACTGTGTACCAGGATCCATACTATGTACAAGGAATAACAATATCAGCAAAATAGCCTATAATCTGAATGAGGTAGAGATGTTCAATTTAAATGCCTAAAGTTATTATGAGAGTTTACAAAGTCACTACAATCTCAGAGCTGGGGATATATTCCAGTTTGTATCATGCCTGCCTAAGAGACACGAGGCCCTCCACTTGATCCCCAGCACCCCATAAACCAAGGATGGTTGTACACGCCTGCAATCTCAATATTCAGTAGGTGGAAGAAGGGGAAATCAGAAGTCAAGTCATCCTCAGCTACCCAGCAAATCTGAGGCTAACCTGAGCTACATGAGAGAGACCCAGTCTCAAAAGATAAAAAAAAGTTAGTGCAACCCCATTATAAAAGAATTAGATACAAACATTTGTGCATACGTATAGGGAAATTTTTCTATAGTTATACACACAATAAACTGTAGCTCTCCAGACAGTGGAAATAGGCAAGTCACTTTCCCAAACATGTGGACCTTAAGAACAGCAACAAGGTTTCCTTATGGTAAAGTAAATGCTTTTATCAGGAACGATGGCTGTACAAGCCAAGGTATTGTATGGATGAGCTTTATTATATGGAATATAATAAATAATATATGGAATATAATAAATAATAAAACTCATAATAAAGGCACTGAGAAGATGTACTACAATAAAGATGTATTTACAAGCTGGACAATACAAAAATATAAAATTAAATTCCTTTCTTAAGAGAGAGAACACCTACTGTGCAGGCTAGTTTTATGTCAACTTGTCATAAGCTAGAGTGATCTGAGAGAAAGGAATATCAATTGAGAAAATACCTCCATAAGATGGACTGTAGGCAAGACTGTGTTTTCTTAATTCGTGATTGATGGGGGAACGCCCAGTCCACTGTGGGCGGGGCCATCCCTGGGCTGGAGGACCTGGGTTCTGTTAAGAAAGCAGGCTGAGCGAGCCAGAGGGAGCAAGGCAGTAAGCGGCGTCCCTCCATGGCCCCTGCATCAGCACCTGCCTCCAGGTTCCTGCGCCGTTTGAGTTCCTGTCCTGACTTCTTTCGATGATGAAAGTAGAAGCCAAACAAGCCCTCTCCTCCCCACGCTGCCTTTGGTCATGGTGTTTCATCACAGCAATGGTATCCCTAACTCAGACCTACTTTTGGGTGTAGGAAGACCCTCCCTCCAACTTCCCAAAGGCAACCTAAAAAAGTGATGCACAGGCTCATGTAGTAGCCGACCTTGATTTAGGACATGTATTAGGAAGAAGCCACAGCATCTGGAGCATGGTAGGGCTTCACTAGATTTCTGTGGAGGGTTCTAGAAAGGCAGAGACCACAATTATTTTTATTCACTACTTCAGGAGCAGGGATAAAGCTAAAGGATCTGGAGGAAAAAAACAAAGGTGCAAGTGCCCCGCCCTCGGGCTGTGTACGTGATTCGCATTTGCAAAGCAAAATAAGCCGTCCTTCTCCACAACTCAAAAATCGGGCCCCCGGCTCAGGAACTAGGCCCTGGAGCGCAGTCGCCACCGTGCCAAGGGCGGCGCTTCCCTCGCTCGCAGCCGGGGCTCCTGTTACCTCCCTGCACACATCTGTGCCCATTACAAGCCAAACAATTGCTCGCTCCCGCGCGCCCGCCTCGAGGTCCGGTGGCGGCTGCGGCCTGGCCAGGACCCCTCCCCCAACTCCTCCCGCTGCCAAAGCCCTGGGGCCACCCCGGGCCGGAGGCCCCCGCCGGCCATTGCATGGCAGCCCGCACCGGTGCTCGGTGCGTCGCCCATGTGCTCGGCCCGCTCGCCGGCGCAGCCCTGTAGGGCTCTGCGCTAGTCAGCCCCGAGGCCTGTCGTCCCGGCGGCGCCGCAGCGCTCCTCGAGGCCCCGGGCCGCCAAAGGCGGGAAGACACGGCCGCGGGGAACCTGGGTCGCAACGCCGAGGCCCCGAGGAGGCGACGCTCGGGTCCCGTGGGGCGTGGCGAGCGGCAGCGGGCTCACTCACCACGGTTCGGCGGGGCAGCGCGCCGGGGGTCCGGGACAGGGCCCGGCGCAGCCTCCGCGCTCTGCCCGAGCGGGTCCCGGCCGAGCTCTCGGAACCGCTGTCGTCGGAGATCACGATGAAGTCCTCCATGGCTACGGGCCCGGCTGAGCCACGCGCCAGCGGCCAGCAGCAGCCCTGGCGACCACGACTCGGGGTCCAGCTGCTGAAGCGACTGCAGCGACCGCGTCGCCGACACCCGGGTTAGTACCCCGCCTGCCCCGCCCCCTCATTACCCCGCCCCCCGGTGCCCCGCCCCGCCCTGAGTCCCGCCCACCGTGGGGCAGCGGCGCTGGGGTGAGGGCCGAGCCCAGGAGGCTCTCCCTTCTCCTCAGAGAAAGAAAGAGAGGGAGAAGAGGAAGGGGGCAGGGGAGGAAGGGAGAGAAGTCAGAGGCTGGGCCGTGTGGTTCCGGGCGGGAAGAAACGTTGATGCCGAGGGGGTGTCCGTCGCAGCTCTCAACTGACCGCCGTGTGCGGGGCTGGTGGCTAGCCTCCGGCTGCAGGTGTGAGGAGGTGTGTTAGCCAGCTTCATTCACACGGAGAGGGGCCACCTTAGGCAGGCTGACCTGGCCACTGACCGGGTAGTGGGGCCTCCAACTGACAGACAATGGGTGACAGACAGGCTAAGGAGGCCGCGAGTGGCCGAGAAGGGTGACCTGAACTTGGTGTCTTACTGACTGGGGCAGAGTCAGTTGGTTACGAGGTGACTGGACTTCTGACTGAGGTAGGGGAGAGACCCCACTGCTTTGATTGTGCAGGTAGATCCATCCGTAGGATAAATTCCCGTAAGTGGAATTATTGGATCAAATCTATGCTTTCATTGTCATTTTGGCAAACGGTGCCAAATTACCCTAAGTTGTACCAATTTGCAGTTTCACCAACAACATGTGTCTCAGGGGTTTAAACTGTCAGATGTAAGAGGTACTGAGTTGCTAGTTGACTGAAATGCCGAAAAGACACACAGATAGAGCTATGAGGTCCCAGAGCGCCTGTACACGCTGATGCTGTGAACCAGCAGACGTTATAAGGATGAGACTGTGTCCCCAACAGGGGGAAATGTTGGTAAGTAGTGAATTCTTCGGTTTGTCGTGGGGCAGGGGCATTAAAATAAAAATAAGACCCATAATTATTTTTAAAAATGTGGGATATTGACAAAATTCTGTCGCTTGGGCTCAAATAACTTTGAATAATAGAGTAATGGATTCAAATTACAGTGGCTTTAGCAAAAAGAGGTTTTGTTTGTTTGTTTTGTTTTTTCTACAGGAATAGCTGTTGGGTGCTATCTAAGCATTGTCTACTGCAGTGCAAATCTCTAAATGGAATTGACATTTCTAGGCATCTGAACTCACCTCTGTTCTCCCCACAGACAGTTTTCTCTTAAAAAAAAACAAAAAACAAACAAACAAAAACAAACCTACTTGCTTTCTTTTAGTATTCTCTGCTGTTGTTGTTTTTTTTTTTTTCGAGACAGGGTTTCTCTGTATTGTTTTGGAGGCTGTCCTGGAACTCATTTTGTAGACCAGCCTGGCCTCGAACTCACAGAGATCCACCTGCCTCTGCCTCCCGAGTGCTGGGATTAAAGGGGTGCACCACCACCGCCTGGCTATTTGCTGGTATTTTAGTACTTTCTAAATATTAGCATTTGGTATTAGTTAATGGTGGTATTATCAGTCAGCAATTGCTCACATGAACAACCTTCCTGATTCCTACTTCAAGTCCCATTTTACCTCCTAACCATGTTTTGTATTCACTCTCTTTTTTTGGCTTCTGCTAATAGCCAAGTTACTGTCATCTCTGGCCCAATCCTCTCCAAAGTACGCGTCTTCCACTCCTTTTTTGCTCACTCACAGAGAGTGTGTAGTCATAGCTGGTGCCACATGCCTGAAGTCCCAGCACTAGAGAAATGGAGGCAGCAAAATTAAGAGCTTGCAGCCAGTTTGGGCTCCACAGCAAGACTCTGTCTTAAACAAAGTATGATTGCATCAGGTTTCCTTCAACCACTTCCTGTCAATTTTGTCTTAATTCTATCTGCCATAATAAAACACCTCAGACTGTGTTGCTTGAACATTTATTTCTCCAAGTCTTAGAAGGAGGCTGGGGTGCTGGTCCCTTCGGTTCCTGGTGAGGATTTTCTCTCTTGTTGCATGCATGTGGTGAACTTATCGCTCCCCCTCTTTCTCTTGCAAAGCCACCAGTCCCACTAAATCAGTTAGTTACCCTGGACCTCCTGTGCCGCTCAGTTTTGGCAGCCTGGCACAAACTAGAGTCACTGAGGAAGGGGGAACCTCTGCAGAGGAATTGTCTCTACCTATAGGCGCATCCGTGGGGACATTTTCTTGTTAAGTGATTGCTGTAGGTGGGCCTACCTTAAAATGGACAGTGCTAACTCTGGGTGGGTGGTTCTGGGCGGCATAAGAAAGCAGCTTGAGCAAGTCGTGGAGAGCAAGCCAGTAAGCAGCATCCCTCCCTCCCTGGCCTCTGCTTTCAGTCTCTAACTTCCTTGAATCCCTGCCCTGGATTCCCTCCGTGATGGACTGTTATCTGGAAGTTATGAGATGAAATAAATCCTCTCCTCCCCCAAGTTGCTTTGGGTTATGGTATTTATCAAAGCAGCAGAAAGCAAGCTAGGTCACTTCCCAAGTGCTCCATCTTCAAAGACCATCACATCAAAGGTTAATGGTTAAACACATGCGTTTGGGGAAAATGCAAACATTCAGTCCCCAAACACATTGTGAACTAAATATGAAGACAAACATAGCTAACTAGATGTTTTTAGAACATATAAATGTTTAGTTGCTTCTAAATCTAGATATAGAGCAAATGTATTTACTCAGTCAAGGGCTATGCCAATGGAGGTGATTACCTTGGTCCTGGCCTCACAGTGCTTATATTTTAAGGGGAACAGATTAGGAAATCCTGGTAAGTCTACCATCAGGGTGAGAGATGTCAACCTGAGAATCATAAATATAAATCAGTTTTATTTTACCCCCAATAACCACTACCACTGTCTCTAGAAATCCTTTTGTTTTCTGGGTATCGACTTTCCTGAGGACAGTCTGCTGTAGCCACTTTCAAAAGAGTCACTCATGTGGTCTCCTTCCAGGCATTAAAATTTCAGCCTGGCCCCTTAAATGTTTCATCTCTTACAGCTTTCCCTGATTTAGTGCAGTTGAATTACAATTGCTCTCAATGGTAGGGCTGATGATGTCTCCTCTCTTGCTTTCTCCTTTCTCTTCTTAAGAAAAACAAAGAGGGGGCTGGAGAGATGACTCAGAGGTTCTTCCAGAGGTCCTGAGTTCAATTCCCAGCAACCACACGGTGGCTCACAAGGTGCTCTTCTGGCGTGTAGGCAGAACACCATATAATTAATAATAAATCTTTTTTTTAAAAGAGCGGTTTTCTAAAAAGAAAAAGAAAAACAAAGAAAGGATGTTCTTTGCGAGACTGTCCTTGACAGAGTAGCAGTTGTCACTCTGCCTTCTTGAGTGACAGTTCCCCCATTGTGTCAGTGCTGGCTCTCTCCACTGCACTCTGTGCATGTGGTTGCTTCCCGAGGCTCCCAGTTAAGACACTGTAGGCTCAGCCTCTTTCTCCTGGGTTCTCTCGCTCGCCAATGTCTTCCAGGGCATCTGACACTCTTTCATTGTTGAGGGATCCAGAGGAGCTTCTTGAGAAATGCCAGCCACCTTCTCATAAACATGGGGAATTTAATATGATTCAAGGAGGAGGGGAATGCAGGAAGTTCCCATCTTAGTGCCCTCTTTCCTTCCAGCCCTTTCCTCCTGTGAGCATCAGAGACTTATTCAAGCCAATGAGTCAGTGAGTTCAGACAGGTTCTCAGCTTGGGGAAAGAAGTGAGGAGTGCCTTGTTTAACCTTACTCTGTGAAGTGAATGGAAAAGGCAGAACAGCCCCTGTTTCCTTCAGCTGGGAGGAAACAATGACTTGTTGTCATCTGGTATGAATCAGTAACCCATAGTTATATTAACTAACTGGAAATTTTCAAATGCTCACTGTTTTGCTAAAGAGTTTATGATAAAATGATTAATATTAATAAATGACTTGCAAGCATGAAATTGGTCATATAACTGTAGTGGTACAGCAATGTTCTGATTGCCTATATCTTTCTCTTCAGCAATCCTGCCTCAAACTTGGGAAGCACAGAGTCCCTGAGTACACTGGCTGAGAATTTCTGAAGGCCACTTTGCCACCCAGGTGAGATGAATACCGGCTACTTTCCTTAGCATCACTAATGGTTTCTTGGTCATTCTGGGTATGTCCCAAAACAACTTGTTTAACTAAGACTTCAAAAATGATGTCTTCTTCAGAACTGTGTATTTTGTAAGGTGTCACTTCAATATAGGTTTACTCCCTTTAAATAGTAAAATAATCTCGTATCAACTGAGAGGCCAGGGTACTCTATTGTACTTAGTAAGAATATTTATTCTTTCTGTTGTCAATTGTTTTCTGTTTTGTTTTTCAAGACAGTGTTTCTTTGTGTAGCCCTGGCTGTCTTTGAACTCACTCTGTAGACCAGGCTGGCCTTGAGCTCAGGTCATCTACTTGCCTCTGCCTCCTGATGCTGGGATTTAAAGTGTGCGCCACCACCACCTGCCTGTATTTATTTATTCTTTATTGAGTGCCTGTTGTGTGCCAGGTACCATGAAAGAATCCAGGGCCAAGGCAATGAGCAATTTGGGTGTAGTGATGTAAACTGTAACCCCAGTGATGGGGAAGTCCTTCTATGTATATGTTTCTCTTACTGGTTAATGAGTAAGACACTGATTGGCTGATTGACCAGGCAGGAAGTGACATAGTGGGGCAGAGTCAGAATATAGGCAGGGACAAATAGGAAATCGCTCTCTTCTCGTCTCTTCTCTGTGGAGACGCTGAGCATGAGATGCTATGTAGACCCCAATGGAGTAAGGGGCCCGGACCTTTGCTCCAGTAAGAGAAGACCACGTGGAAATACAATAGTAGTTATGGGTTAATGATTAAGACAGAGCTAGCCAATAAGAAACCATAGCCAACAGCCAACAGTTTCATAATGAATATAGCATTCTGTGTGTTCATTTGGGGCTCAAGGGCCACAGGACCTAGCTGGGCCAGAGAAATGTCCACATTATACCCCAGCACTCAGGTGGCTGGGGTAGGAAGATCACTATAAATCTGAAGCCATCCTGGCCTACAAGGCAGGTGCCAAGCCAGTCAGTGCTACACGGTGACACCCTGTCTCAACAAACAAGCAAGCAAACAAAACAAAACAAACTTATGAAAGTAGTAGCATCAGGAGGCAGCTTGGTGGAATACTATTGGCCCTCACTTCTCAAGTCACCTTACCCCATCCTCAGATTCCTATCCCCTACCTCAGCCCTATGTAAGTTTGTGCCTGTTGGAATAAATTGAGATCCTGCTTGGACAGACCCCCGCCCTCTCCTTAACTAATTCGGGGAGGGGCTGGACAGCCCTTCCCCTGACTACCTGCCAGAGGATCCGACACAATCCTGTACTTTAAAAAATAACAATAAATCCTAACTAAGTTAAAATTACACTTGGAAAAACTATAAAATTCAAACTGAAGCCACAATTACTTACTATTTCATACCCTTTAAGATTGTTGTTTTTTGTTTATTTTGTTTTTTTGAGACAGGGCTTCCCTGTGTAACAGCTCTGGCTATTCTGGAATTCAGTCTGTAGGCCAGGCTGGCCTCCAACTCAGAGATCTGTCTGCCTCTGCTTCCCCAGTGCTGGGATCAAAGTTGTGTGCCATTACCACCCAGCTAAGATTTTTTTTTTGGAGAGGTATTGCTCCTTCATAGACCAAGCTGACCTTGAACTTGCTATGTAGCCCAGAATGACCTCCAGCCAATCAACCTGTCTCAATCCTAGGAATGGTGGTATTGCAGATGTGCATGTAACAGATAATTCAGCCATAAAAGGAATAAAGTTCTGATGTGTGCAACAGCATGGATAAACTTTGAAGTCACGGTGGCAAGCGAAATAAGTCACACAAAAAACGCCAGTGAGCATGTCTCCCATCTTCCATATCTGAAACTGAACAGTGTTGTAGAACTCTGTTGTCTGGTTTTGACATGACTGGCATGGCTGCTGATTTTTTACTTCAGAGTCCTTACAAGACTAGCCCACTAACATTCCCACACAGAAGATGGGCAGGTGTGGCCTACCTGGGCTAACAAGCCCAGTCTCTCCTCAGAACACTTAAGCCCTTAACTATTGCTGGTGTGGAGACTCTTCAGTGGTGTAGCTGCTCTTAAGTTGCCCATATTCTGTAAGTGACTCCAGTGACACTAATTGCTCACCCGAAGTTGGACTTTGTAGAATTGTTTCTTCTGTCTGTTTGTCACTACCTGGTGTGAAGTGATGTGTGTTCTCCCAGAAAAGTCATGCAGAAGTCTTTAAAGTTAAAAGAAAAATGTCTGTGAGACCAGAGAAGTCTTGCTTCACAAAGTTATCAAAGGCTGGCAGTTGAAAGCTGTAAATATTTGTCTGACAAGAAACAGAAATGCCATTCTGTGGATGAAAGGGGAAAGTTCATCCCAAACAACCAAGGCTGACTCTTGGAGGGGAGGGAGGAGCAGAGGGTAGTGATGGGGGTGGGGGTGGGGTGGGCGGGGAATCCTCAGGATTATAAGGGAATGGGTACTTGGGAGGAAGGGAGCCTGTGAGTTGGGGATTGGGGTTTTAAAGTGTATAGCAGGTACTTGTGAGTAAGATCTGAGGCTGGCTTGGACCTAGACATGCTAATAGGCACTGCAGGCACGAATTAATGCAGGAGCCGTATGTCCCCTTTGCTAGTGATGAGGAGAATGACTCCTTTTGGCAAGTGGATACTAGCTTTCCAAGTCCCTGAGCAAAAGCTGGTTTTTGCCTAATTGCCAGAATCTGGGAAAAGGAGTTTCTTTAGATCTGACAGACACAGGTCTTCACTATGTAGTCCTGGATAGGAACTCACTATGTAGGCCCGACTGTCCCAGAACTCATTGTGTAGACCAGACTGGCCTGGAACTCCCTATGTAGGGTCTACATTGTAGACCAATGCAGGTGATTTCAAGAGGATGATGGTATTAAAATAATGATAAACCCATTCTGAATCATTTAAGTATATTGGTCTCTCCTGCCATCCTTCAAATTGGATTTTTAGAGATAGAAATAAGTGCTAATTTGAAGTTGAATTATTTATGAAAATGTTTAAAATAGCACTATATGATAGAGAAATGGTCCAAATTGGGGAGCATTTGGTGGCCATGTAATTCCAGCACGGAGTCACTCAGGGACTGTTGGTCTTAAGTCACCAGCAGAGCTCTAAAGAACCTGTACACAGAACAACACATTAAACTAAAAGAATGCAGGGCTGATTTGGAGAAGGTTAGACTACACACATATTTCTGTGTATGTAAGTATAGTACGGAATACAGAGTGATTTCTTTGTATAGAAGTGTACTACAGAATACAGAGTGAAATAGTTTTGCATTTCTGATCTGAATACTAATTGAATCAGGATTCCAACTCAGGGCCAATTGCACTAACAACCACAAAGCCAACCTTTTTGTTTGACATGATTTGTTTAGGATGACTCTGTATTCAGCTAGACATTTCAAGAATACCAGGGAAGTTTTGAGCAGCATGAGGTTGAGAATTGACGTTGCTAACGTCATCTTGCAAACATAATTACCCAAATGGATATGTCCTGCATCCACAGTACTGCTGGAAGAATTGAAGTGGACAAACACTTGTCTGTCAGCTGGTTTGATGTAGATACATCATAAGTGTCAATGGATTTTTTTCTCCCTTCCAAAACAAAAATCTACTTCACTGTGTGTGCATTAGTCTTACAGATTTGCAATAACAGTATGGCTAGATGTTTGATCTGTTCATGTTCATTTCACTTAACATACATGGTGGTTTTATGTTTTGTTTGTTGTTGTAATTGTTTTGATACATGATCTCACTATTTGCCTTGGCTGTCCTGCAACTCACTATATAGACCAGATTGGTCTTTGAACTCACAGAGATCTACCTGCCTCTACCTCCTGAGTGCTGGGATTAAATTAAAGTTGTGCACCACAACTACCTGACTCCCCCATTGTCCTTATAAACCAATGTATCACTTCCTGGCCAGGGATACAAGACTGAGAATTCCCATTCATTGGATCACACAAGCTTTGAGGGCATTAGCAAGAGGGACTTGTTAACTTGCCAACACTGCCAAGGCTCCTGGTGGGGTGCATGGTTTCTGAGCTAAGCTGGACCCATTTGCTTTATAACTTTCTGCTGCTTTCCTGGCCACCAATCTAGTTTGTTGATGTTGAGAATGTGTGTGTGTGTTTATCATCTATTGCTCATTCCATTAGACCCTAAGGGAGGAAATTCCTTTAATGTACTTTCTAAGTTTGGTATTTCAACTCTGATGTAAAATATAAAAAATTTCAATAACTCTTTGTCCATCATTTTACTGATAGGAAATTATCACTTTTAGTACTCTTCATCTTGAATTGTGTTGGCTACATTAATATTGTAATGCAGGTAAAATGATCCTTTGTTTGCTGTGCTGGGAAAACAATTCTGACTCTGAAGCCTGCGTGTCTTTATCAATGTATAGGTGTTTCTCCATTCAGAATTAAGTTCTGAGTCATTCTGTGCCTTGAGGTTGCTGTGGCAGAACCCAAGCACAATGGAGCCAAGCTCTGAGGCTGAGGTTCCTCCTTGGCTCAGGCCACAGAAGAGTCGGCCACATTGTTTGCCCTCGGGGCTCCTTATCCTTAGATGCTGCTTCCTTACTTTTGGGGGCTTGGGTTTATCATGACTGGCACTAGCGATGATATCCCTGAAATTCTCTTTGTTACTGTATTTGTGAGTGCTGGATTTGTTTGTCACATACAGTATTCACTGCTGGATGAGGTATACTAGTATTGTCTGCTGGGACCATGAGCCTCATCCTTACCAGGGTGCTTCGATGACTACCTCTCTAGGTTTATCTGGAGGCAGAAACTTCTGCTGCTGTACTGTGGATGAAGGCTGGGGTGACACCTCTGTTCACTGCTTCTGGGCTCTCTTATGTCCCTGTGTCCACAGCTCTGAGCTGGGAGAACCCCAAGATTACTTTCACCCTTCATTTTTGCTCTTTCCTCTGAATATTCTGGGTAATCATTTTTCTTCAACCTGATGACATCCAGCTTCCAAGTCTGGATAATGGAAGACATCATGGCTTCAGCCTCTGTCTTGGATTGCTCACTGTGGGAGAAAGCAGCTGTGAGTGGGTCATCATGATGAAGGGACCTTCAGTCCCGTCAACCATCCTGATGACCACTGCCTTGGTTGGCGTCTTCAGCCCCTCCAGCCATTCTGAAGACTGAAGTCTTGACTGGCTCTTGTGGGAGACTCTGAGCCAAAACCACCCAACTCCTGGATTCCTTACTTTAAAAATTACATGACACAATAACTTTTCTAAGTTATCAAAAGATTAATATTTGACAAAGTATTAACTACTGGGCATCTTCCAGATGAAACTCCATTACCATGCCTTCAAAATTGTCTTTTTCTTGTTGTTACTTCAGCTAAATCTCTCTGAAGAAACTTATGAAGAACCAGCCAAAGTCACCAAACCACTAATTCTTTTAGATGAGTTAGAGTAAACTTAACCATAATAACACTGAACTGAGCATGCCCAGAAGCATTTGTTTCTCATGACTGACAATGAATACAACCTTCAGTCACTTTATATAGAGAATAGCCTGGTCAGCATCTTGTTCTTGGAAACACTCTGCCTTTTGGGTATGGCATCAACGTTTCTTTACCAACCCTTCCTTCCTAGATTCCTCTGTAGGTCCCTGCTCCAATCCCTCCAGGTCCAGTCAGAGGCTCTTTTCTTTTGTAATCTACTCTCTTTCCTGAAGAATTCTCACTCATCCTCTTGGGGAATAAGCAGCTGATGCCCAAATGTGTTCATCCAGCCCAGGCCTCTTTCTTGAGTTTCATTCATATTGCAGCATTTACCAGTGCTTGGCTCCTTTTATTGCTTAATGGTATCCCATTTTATGGACAGAGTACATCTTATCTGTCTACAAACTGATGGGTATTTGGTCTTGTGTACTTTTTAGCAGTTATGAATAATGTTACTGTAACCATCTTCTCATAAGTCATATGATCTGTCACTCCATTTTTCTTGGGTACACACCTAGCAATGGAATGGCTGGGCTAGGCCATGCGTATATGAATGAAGTAAAATGGGGACAAGATGCTCTTTGGAATGGGTTGAGGAGGTTTATTGTAGATATGAGGAAAAGCACAGCCAGACTGAACTGGGCCATGGATGGGGGGCTGTGAGGAAGGAAGAGAAGAGAGAGGGAGTCAAGAGAGCACCTGGAAACCTAGAGGCCAAGAGCACCAAGAGACCACGTAGCCAAAATGGTTGAGGTTATACAGGAATCAGAGAAGCTGGGGCAAGGGAAGTGAAGCTCGGGGGCTGGAGAGGTCCAGGTATGCAGCAGGATGACTCTGCAACAGAACCTGCAGGTCAGCGTCTGCTCTGATATGTCAAACAGGCACCTCAGTTGGCCATCTGTCCTGGGTTGAATACTCAACAGTGTATATACAGAGAGAGAGAGACAGAGAGAGAGAGAGAGAGAGAGAGAGAGAGAGAGAGAGAGAGAGAGAGAGAGAGAGAGAGAGAGAGAGAGAGAGGAGAGAGAAAGGTAATCAGTCATGGGATGGTGATACTCTATCTTCAGCCACCTTTAAGTTCTGTAGGGTCTCTATTTCTAGTTTTTACATTTGGTTATTATTTTGTGTGTGGGGACATGTACTCACACATATGGAAACCACGGAACAACTCAAGGGAGTCAGTTCTGGCCCCTGACTGTGTGGGCTCCAGGGATCATTATTTAGGCCTGCTGGCTGGGCAAATGCTGGCCTGTGATGCTCTGCACTTCAATGTTGTCTGTCAAGCGGAATGATGGTTGTCTTGTCCTTATGGTTATTAAGCAGATTAAGTTAGGCAAGTATAGACTCATGGATCAAGATTCACTGGACTAGGCTCAATGTAGGTTATTATAATTTTATTTGGGGAGAAGGCACTTACACAGGAAACAGATGACCGCTGCAAGTTCCTGTTCAAGGATCCACACAAGCTGCTCTCTGCGACCTGACCGGAAGCAAGAGAGAGAGCCACCTGTGCCCCCACTCCAGACCTAAAACCACTCTTAGTCATGTCTGAACAAATGGGCAGGGTGGATATCTCATTATAATTCTACTTTTAGTCTAAAGAAAAACATTTAGGTTTGATACAAAACTATACACAAAGATAGCAAGTATCAAGTGTGCTCTAGGAGAAGGAAAAGTAAGAACAAACACACCTAAGACCTATCGACAGTGAAGCAACTAGAGCAAAAGGCAAGAACTACACATCTAGTCCTAGGGTGAAGGCATAGCAGAGATAACTATAGAATGTCCTATGCTGGAAAGTTTAAGTCTTGTACCTAATATTTCTATCTAGGGAGATAGAACAATAATTGTGACAGTCTAATCTTCAACCTCATCAAAACTCTGAGAAGGAGGATAACAACACTAAGATTGGCAAAAAGTACAGGTGAGCAACTTCTAAAAGGTGCAGAGAAGACAGAGACAGCAGGCTGTCTGGACAGTCACCCAGAGTCTCACAGCAGCATAGGGGCAACCAGCATTGGCTAAGGCCTGGAGTATCAGATTGACCAACACAGAAGCAGGGAGGTAGAAAGGCTGTCTAACCCTGACTTGGCAAGGTTCAACAGTCTTCTAATTTATCTCCTGCAAGCACAGTAGGACAGCATGTCCAAAGTCAGCGATCGAGGTAGGAGCAGTTCTTTGCCCAAGAGGTCATTAACCGAGGAGAGAATGAACTCCAGAAGGAATGTCATCAGTACTCAACATATACTCGGAAATAGCTTGGTGCTGTCAGGAGCAATTGTTTCTCAAGTCAATGGAGTACTAATAATAAAACATTTAAATGTCATATTCTGTTGGTCTATGAAGTGTTTGAAGCTCAAATATCTATGTCTGACTAATCTCATAGATAAGAAACATGGGTGATAATAATCTGTAATTCTCAGAAACATAGTTGTACAATGGCTGAAGCTTCCCAAAATAATTTAAACAATCCTAAAACCTATATGCAGCAAGGACAATGACCTCAAATTTGTAACTATATACATATATATAATTCTCAAAAACAGAGATAAAACTGAAATGTCTTGGCTAGAGATATAACTGTAAAGTGCAATATGAAAAAATATCCTAAGTTATATCAATATACAAAATGTATATACATCAAGATAGTTTTATATTTGTGTGCAAAACATTGTAAACAGAAAGAAGACCCTAAACAGTCAACATACAAGAATCTAACAATTTAAGTTATCTATAGCTAACAGTTGCTAAAGTTAGTTCACTAGAAAATGTTAATCTACCTATATTCCATCCTAACCATACCTTTCCCATCCACACCCTTAAACTTACCTAAGAGAGATACCCGAGTCTGGGCATCACCTTCCATACCCAACCCTAAACAACTAAAAACCACCTAAGCAGGTGAATACCATCCCTTAATGCCAACAGTAGGGGAAGGGGGTGTTGTATTCTTAGGTTTTCTTCCCATTGAAATGGGATGACGATGACTCCATGGGATCCTGTAGGAAAAAAATTAGAGCAACAAAAAGTTAATGAATAGTTTCTCTTACTAGTAACACCATTTATTGATTCTTTTATACAGTATAATGATAGAGAAACATACCATTGGAATGAAACTGTCATGTAAATACCACAGAGCCCACATGTGATAGTGTCCTCCCCATGTTGTGGGGGTAGTCACAGTTGTGTAAGGCTTCCACCACTGAAAGCAGTGTCATCATGCTATGAATGACAGTACTGGTTTCTGTGAAGACAGCCTGGAGAGATGTATGTTGAGTCCCTGACCTTAACATGAGTTGTCACATCTGAAGGCTTCTGCTGGCCAAGTTGGCCGTAAGCTGATGATGGTGATGTGAAGGTGTTGGGAGGCTGACCTAATGCAGGGAGAGGAGGCCCTGGCAGAAGCCCGGTTTCTTATGATCACTGAGGCCTATTTTCTGGCAGTTGGTAAGCCTCTTGGAGACTTGTAAACTGACTGTTTGACCATGATTTCCAACAGTAGGAAATCATTCTTCCATTCCCCCAGGGCTGAGGAAGTTCCGTTCATCTGTGTTCCCCCAGCTCCCCTTGGGAATGGCATCGTAAATCTATTACAGCTTTAGCAGTTGTTTCTCTGGATGCTTGAGGGCCTTTGAGGTTCTGCCCCAGGGCTCTGTGAGATGGGTTTTGTTGGTTCCTCTAATCTCTTCCCACAGGAATTTATGATCTATATAAAGCTCCTGGGTTCCATCTGCTTCTCAGAGAGTTCATATCACAACTAAAGAGTCCCTGGCAGCATAGATACCATGGTGTGGGTAATGTCAGTCACAGCCTTTTCCTCCGGGCTTTTTGACAAGCTTTGTTGGTCCTACTGATACACTATGAAAATGCAGTGGAGCAGTTAAAAAGGGTAGAGATGGCATGCATGCTTTGCCTACGTGTTTGTGCACAACCTCGGTGCAGTGCTCTCAGAAGCTAAAGAGGGCATTAGAGCCCGGAAGCCAGAAGAGGGTGTTGTTGCATGAAAAATGAAGGACCCAGGGTCAGATATTGGGGTTCAAACTTCAAGCTGAAGAGCAGAAGAGCAAAGCAGCCAGTCACTAGCTTTTATCTCTACCTCAGACTGAAAGGCCATCTTGGTTCCACCCAACCTTAGACTGCTGCCTCCCTCTCCTCATCATGGCTGGAGAATCCTGAGACTTCAGTGTGTTTCTATCCTCAGTGTGGCCGGAGAATGAATGCCTCATCGTTTATAACCCTCTAGTGCTAGGATTAGAGGCAAGTGATCCCAGGTGCTGAGATCATCTTTGTGTGGGCTGTTTCTCTTTAGGACTGGATCAATCTTGTGCTGGGGACTCTATAGCCTGTGTCCTCTGTAAGAGCAGCCAGTGCTCTTAACCTTTGAGGCATCTCTCCAGACCCAAGATGGTGGAGGATTTGTTTTATTTTATTTTGTTTTGTGTAGCTTTGGAGCCTGTCTTGGAACTTTCTTGTAGATCAGGCTGCCCTTGAACTCACAGAGATTCACCTGCCTCTGCCTCCTGAGTGCTGGGATTAAAGGCATGTACCACCACCACCTGGTGAGTTTTTTTAAAAATTTGATTTTTTAAAATATGGCCGGGCGTTGGTGGCGCACGCCTTTAATCCCAGCATTCGGGAGGCAGAGGCAGGTGGATCTCTGTGAGTTCGAGACCAGCCTGGACTACCAAGCAAGTTCCAGGACAGCCTCCAAAGCCACAGAGAAACCCTGTCTTGAAAAACCAAATAATAAAAAAAATAAAAAAGACTTATTTCTTTTATGTCTGAGTACTCTATCTGAATGTATGACTTTATGCCAAAGAGGGCATCAGATCCCATTATAGATGGTTTTAAGCTACCATGTGGTTGCTGGGAATTGAACTCAGGACCTCTGGAAGAGCAACTAGTGCTCTTAATCCCTGAGCCATCTTACCAGCTCCCACGGTAGAGTTTTTAATAGCTAAATGTATATAATTGTATGGCCAGGTGTGGTGCACACTTTTAATCCTAGCACACAGGAGGCAGAGGGAGGCAGATCTCTGTGAGTTTGAGGTCAGCCTGGTCTGTAGAGTGAGTTCCAGGATAGTAGAGAGACCCTGTCTCAATACAACTATATAATTGTCACACACACACACACACACACACACACACACACACACGAAAGAGAGAGAGAGACAGAGACAGAGAGAGCACTTCCAAGTCTTACCAGAGCAATTCCACTTTGCTGAGAGCTACTATTTATTTGTCCCGTGTACCACTTACTTGTTCTAAGTCATGTTTGGTCAGTATTTATCAAGACCAGCGTGCTCCCCAATAAGGGTAATGCCAGTTTTCCTGTGCTTTGTGTTATCTGAGCCTGTTGTCACCCCGGCTGCTGTACCACGAGGCACTGCTCTTAAACCAGGGTTACATCAAGTCTGTTGCAGATGTAGAACCATGCAAATAGGAGCTTGTGCTATGTGACAAAAACTTTCCTGGGGAGACTCAACACACACATTTACTCACCCCAAATGGGGACCCCGTGACATACCATAGTAGGAGTACCACCAAAGTTCAGTTTTTTGAGTCAATGAGTATTATTGGGGTTACTTACACAAGTATGGGTGAGGGGTTATTTACAGGAGCAGAAACGACAGCTGCATCACCAAGGCCCATTCCAGCATGGTGACAGCTCCCAAAAGCTGGGGATGTGGAGCACACTTCACAGTCTGCAGGCACATCAACAGTGGGAGAGTGCCCTTTCCACGTGGTTTCTACTTCCTCCAGACCACTGGTCTGCTCTCAGCGTCTTCCATGCAGCTCAGCTCTGCCCTCGAGAGACACTCAGATTTTCCGCTTACTCTAGCAGGGAGGGGCCTGGTAAGTCTGGTCAGTTTCAGGGACTTCCTGAAGTTACCTTGAGTCACTTACCTTCTTATCAGTGTTTCATAGGAAACTGTGATGGTTGTTCTTGGTTGTCAACTTGACTACATCTGAAATTAACTAAAACCCAAATGACTGGTCACACCTGTGAGAGATTTTTCTTAAGTAATTTTTAAGTGGGAGGACCTGGCTTTTTAAATTTTTTTTAAGACAGGGTTTCCTGAGTTCAATTCTCAGCAACCACATGGAGGCTCACAACCGTCTGTAATGAGATCTGGTGCTCTCTTCTGGACTACAGGCATACATGCAGACAGAACACTGTATATATAATGAATAAATAAATCTTTAAAAAAATTATAGTAAGTCTTTTAACTCTAGGATTTCAGGTATGCCTCTTTACTTCTGGACTCCAGCAAAATTTTGCTGCCCCCGGACCTTCTACCATGCTGCACACTTCGTTTTGTGTTTGTGTCAGGGTCTTACTACACAGCCTTGGGTAGGTCCCCAACTCACAGTCTTCCTGTTTTGGCATCAGAGTCCTGGGATTACCAATACTGGTCACTCTAGGAAGCTTGAGCCCCACATTTGAAAGGGTCACTATTTACCTTTTTTGGGGGAAAAGGATTGAGACATACAGGTTGGCCTTAAACATACTGTATATATTGAATTCCTGACTTTCCTGCCTGGAATTGTAGACCTGTGTCAACATACCCATCATCTCTTAACATTGCCACATGGGCATTAAGTCTCTCTCTCTCTCTGGTTTTCAACACATAGATTGGAGAATAATATCTAAATTAAGTACAAACCATTCTGAATAACAGCTAAGGTTATAATATATTCCAAAGAACAAGCCTCTGCTATAAACTGGCTCCTTTTGTTATTACTTTAATCTTTTGGAGTATGTGAGATGGGGTAGGGGAACCCATTTATCACATCAAATGGTAAGCTTGTGTGAGGTGGGTGTGTGTGCCTTGTGGTGACCGTTCACTCTCCAACCTTTGAGCTGATAAAGTGGTGAAGCCTGGACCCCACTTGAGGACGCCGTGCTAAGGAGCAGGAATGAGTATGCAGGGATATACATAGAAACCCTACCTCAATTTTTTTTGGTAAAAAATAATAATAGTAATAAAACTAAGTGGTAGGTTTGTCCTGGAGTTGCCTAACAGCCTGAAAGGTAACTTCTATTTACAAAGGCATATTCTTCTAGTAAAGGAATGCTGACCCTCTGTGGAAGGAAAAATCCCTCACAGAGTAGAAAGGTTTGCCCTGCCTCAAAGATCAGGGAGCCGGGATACCACACGAGTGCACTGCAGACTCGGCATACCTGTGTGCAGGAGAGTCTTGCCTGTTCTCCCATGACACAGGCACGGTGGTCCAAGCGACACCTCTTACTCTGAGCCTGCGGGTAGTGATAGACTGGAACCACTCTGATCACGCAGCTGTGGGCTAACGCGTCCCCTTCCCGCGGGCTGTGAGGACAGGGAAGTGAGGTAAAGTGTTTTGCACAGCACCTGGCACAGGGCATGCTTGACAAATGCTTCCCTGCAGGGAGATGGGGCAGCTCCCAGTGAGAGCTCAGGGGCTGGCTGCAGAGACCTGCCACTTGTCCCTCTGTCCCCCAGCGTGTTGGTCCTCCCACTCCCCACCCCACAGCCGAATGGGCCACGTCAGTCACTCGGGCAGGTGCTGTGGAGAAGCCTTGGCCATCACACCCGGCACAGCAGGCGGTACAGTGACATGGTAGAGGTGACTTTTGCTTGCAGTGTTTTGGTGCATGATGGGTTTGTGTGTGGTGAAAAGGACAGTGTAACTCAAAACTGTGTGCCAGTGGGTAGTATGGGGAGGGCAAAGCTCCAGGTAGCTGGGGCACTTAGGAGGGGTGGGTGTGAGGAGGAGGTCTCAGTGCCAGTCTTGCTGGGTACAGTGGGGTCATGTGTGCAGCAGAGGCCACACGAGGAGGGCGCTACATGATTTTTCTTTCTTTTGAACTTTTTTTTGTTTGTTTTTATGAGACAGGGTTTCTCTGTATTGTTTTGGAAGCTGTTGGTCCAGCCCGGCCTCGAACTCACAGAGATCCGCCTGCCTCTGCCTCCCGAGTGCTGGGATTAAAGGCGTGCACCACCAACGCCTGGCACATTTTTTGAATTTTGTTTTGTAGTGCTGGAGATCAAACCCAGAGCCCCCATGCACTGAGCGAGTGCTCCTCCACTGAGCCCCATGGTGGTCTTTAAAGTGTGAATAATAGCAGAGTAGCTGGGGTGGGGGCTGCTGGTGTGTTAAAATGCCTGGCACATTACTGGTGTTGGGTAAAAAGCTCTTGTAGGCATGCAGGTACAGCATGGGCAGGTATGGCATCATAGCACAGGCACCACCACCTGACTTGTTGGTTTTCATTGTTTCTGCCTTTGTCTGTGTCTCTGTGCTCCCATTAATCTTATAGACAGACATAGGAAACTGAACCTCATTGATGCTTTTAACTTCCCCCTTTTAATGTAGGTTACAGAACTTTAAATTAGGCTTTATTTATTTATTCATGTTTTGTTTTTTTGAGACAGGGTTTCTCTGTAGATTTGGAGACTGTTCTGGAACTCTCTTTGAAGACCAGGCTGGCCTTAAACTCACAGAGATCTGCCTGCCTCTGCCTCCCCAGTGCTGGGATTAAAGGTGTGCACTACCACCACCTGGCACCCACAGATTTTCTAAGTTAGTGAAGTTTCGCAAGGCTGAAACCCCTGCCAAGTTTCTGTAAAGGTTGCTGGATCCCTCTCTGACCTATACACCCACTGATCTGGAAGCCCCGAGAACAACAGGCGATTTGAAGGAGAGGTGTTGTCAGAGTTGGCAGGAGCAGCTCAGAAAGTCTTTATTAACAGAGACTTGACAGAAGATAGGCAGGCTGAAGGCTTAGCAAAAGCAACCCCGTTACTGCCGAGAAACTGGGAGGAACCATCTGCCAGAATGAATGAAGCCTACAGAGGTGACCAGGGAATATACCAAGACCACCACCAGTTCAGAATCAGTGTGCGTATTGTAAAAGAGGAGGGCACTGGAAAATGATGTCCAGACCAGACGGTTGGAGCGCCCAAGGCAAAAGTGCTCCAGTTAGAAACTGCAACCGCCTGACAGCCAGGCCTTGATTCCAGTAACCCCCATGACCCAGGGTTACCTTGGGAGTGAGGGGCAATCAATCTAGTCAGCTTCCTGGTGGACACCGGGGTGACTTTGCCAGTCCTAAAGAACCTGATGGGCCCCCAGCAAAAAGAAATGAAATAAAAGTCCAAGGTATAACGGGGTAATCATGTGATTACTCCTGGACAGCTGATCAGGTTGTGGACTTAGGTATAATGGAGTAATCGTGTGGTTACTCCTGGACAACTGATAAGGTTGTGGACTTAGGAAGGAGCAGTGTCACCCATATGTTCCTGGTTATGCCAGGACGCCTCTACCCCCTACTGGACCAAGACCTGCCACACAAATGACAGGCCACTATCACCTTTAAGGAAGACAAGACAGAATTAGATTATAAACTCCCCACTAAAAACCCTAGTAGACGAATACCTGTTACTGTCTGGGCCATCTGTGGCCCAGCAGAGATCCATCTCATATCTGGCTGAATTACAAGCAAAGATCCCAGGGGTGTGGGCAGAATTGAATCCACCGGGGTCAGCAAAGCATCAAGCCCCAGCAGCAGTTCAGCTGACTACTACCCAACCTCAATGAAAGAGACAATATCCTATGGGGACAGAAGCAAAAACGGATTTGCAATTCACATCCAGAGACTCAGGGAGGCTAACATTTGAGTCCTTGCCAGTCACCTTGGAATACTTCCCTCCCCCAATCCATAAACCCAGCACTAATAACCACAGGCCTACACACCGTCATCAGATGGTGCACAGGTTGTGCTCAGACAACCACTGGGCCACCATCCACAGTACCCACAGGAGTTAGGACCCAAGGTGAGATGCCTGGAGAGCATTGGGAGGTGGGCTTCCCTGAGATAAAACCAGGTCAAAATGAGTATAAGTACCTCCTTGTATTTGCAGATACCATCTCAGGTTCAGCAGAGGTTTTTCCCACGAGATTGGAATGGCACAGGTTACTGTGATGGCACCCCATTGTTAATGGAGTCAGACAATGGCCTGGCTTTCATAGCTGGAATCTCTCAATTACTAAGGTCTTAGGGATAACATGGAAATTACACTCTGCCTACAGACCTCTTACAGGCTCCATGGACTTCTTCTGGAGGTTTTTTTCCCATTTGAAATTCTTTCTGGCTGACATCCTCCTCTCTTACCTACACTACAAGATGCACACTCAGGTGAAATTCCTAACCATTCCTTTCTCCAGTCCCTCCAGGCCCTGGAAATGGGTTGTTCAGCATGTCCCCCAAACTGTGAGAGAGACCCAGCCAAAAGACTCTGAACTTACTAACTACCCTTACCAGGCCAATGATGTTTTCTCCATCTGGGTTAAGAGACATCATCCAAAGACACTTGTGCCTCATTGGACCGTATCTTGTGGTCCTCACCACACCCACAACTGTTGAGGCGCTGGGATCCCTCCTGGATTCATCACACCCAGCTCAAATGGGCGACAGACACTCTTGACCTATGGACCATCACTTGTTCAGAGGATCCTTTAAAGCTTAAATTCACTCCGCATTGTTTCCAGAGGTGGATCCGGGTCCACAATTTCCAGATAAAACATAAAAATTCCCAAGTACTATCAAAGCCGTTTTCTCTTTCTATGTGTCTTCTCTGTATGGAATTCTGTATTGGACTGCTTTATGTCAACTTGATACAAGCTAAAGTCATCTGAGAGGAAGGAGCCTCAATTAAGAAAATACCTCCATAAGATCAGGATATGGGGCTGGAGAGATGGCTCAGAAGTTAAGAACACTGACTACTCTTCCAGAGAACCTGAGTCTATTCCCAGCAACCACATGGTGGCTCACAATCATCTCTAATGAGATATGGTGCCCTCTTCTGCCATACAGGCATACATGGAGGCAGAATGTTGTAAACATAATAAATAATGAATAAATCTTTAAAAAAAGATCAGGTTACAATGGCAGTGGTGGTACATGCCTTTGATCCCAGCACTTGGGAGGCAGAGGCAGGTAGATCTCTGAGTTCAAGGCCAGCCTGGTCTAGTTTCAGGATGGCCATGGCTATGTAGAAAACCTCTTGACAAAAAAACAAAACAAACAAAGAAATCAGGCTGTAGGCAAGCCTGTAGGGCATTTTATTTTCTTAATTAGTGATTGATTGGGGAGGGCCCGCTCCATGTGGGAGTTTCCATCCCTGGGCTCGTGGTCTTGGTTCTATAAGAAAGCAGACGGAACAAGCCATGGGGAGCAGGCAGTGTAAACAACTCCCTCCAAGGCTTCTGCATCAGCTCCTTCCTCCAGATCCCTGCTGTCTGAATTCCTGTCCTGACTTCCTTCGATGAACAGTGATGTGGAAGTGTAAGCCAAATAAACTCCTTTCTCCTCAACTTGCTTATTGGTCATGGTGTTTCATTGCAGCAATAGGAACCCTAACTAAGATAACTACCCAATTCTAGGACGGAAATAATAAATCTCCTACAATAGAATACGGTTTACATTCTAACACCCGGGTAAAATCAGTTCATATTGTAAGTACTACGGACTTCTGTTAAAAGAGGAGTTAAATGATGAAAGTGTGTTTGGTGCTTGCCTTGTTCCTGGTTGTAAACCTGTCCAGGACATTGCTAACCTAAAAGGGTAGCCCTTCAACAGGTATCCTTAAGCCTATCAGTTATAAAGATTCTTACAGTTGGGGCAGGACTTTTAAAGACAAAGCAGGAGATGCAATAGAACTCCACACTCCCTGTGTTATAGTACACCCAAATGACATGTGCTAAAATACAAAACCACAGCCCCCGCAGTACTTCCCCAAGGGACAAATAAATTGTTCCCATACTGAGGCTATCCTCTATGGGATGGCCATATTCCTTTGCCTGAACGATGTTTTTTTCACTTGTGAACAATACACCTATAATTATATTCCTGCTCTAAGTCCCACAGTACCCACTGTTGTTTACAGAAAGTCCTGCTAGGCCGGTGGTGGCTCACACCTTTAATCCCAGCATTTGGGAGGCAGAAGTATGAAGATCTGAGTTTGAGGCCAGCCTGGTCTACAGAGCGAGTTCCAAGACAGCTGGGGCTAAACAGAAAAACCCTTTCTCAAAACAAACAAACAAACAAACAAACAAAAAATACTTTGCTCTGTCACATTAGTCTTGTGACTTGGGGTAGGCCACTTTGCCTCTAACACAGGAGGTATAAGTTCTCAGTGCGTGGTAAAAATATGTAATCAATTGAAGTATTTGGAAAAGAAATGTAAGGAGGGAAAATGGGATAGCAAATAGCTTTTTATCCAAAAGACTTCAGTGATTTCATTGACACTTTTAGTATAAAATCTTCCCAGTTTCCAAAAACGCCTGCTTTCCCCTGCGTCCCCAGTGCTGGGGTTACAAGCCTGCAACACCACAGCTGACTTCATACAGACATTTTCACACAAGTATACATTATATGTTGAGCATATTCCTTCGGTGGCTCATAGCTCTACTGCAGTGCCTTAGCTCATCCTGGAAGCTCACCGTTGATTCTTTTCCAGCTGGATATCTTTTGTTCTAAGACAGACGTAAGGAGTGGGAAGCACTGAGATGTGAGTGTGGCATACACAAATGACCATTTTACTTTTCACTTTTTCTTAAAAATTTACAATCCTGCATATGCAATATATTCTAAAAACCAAGATCAAAAGACAAAAGCCCCAAAGCAAACGCCAAATCAACCAAGCAACCTTGCTCAACCCAAACCAACAAATCCACACCTCTCATTAACCAACTCCTTATTTCCATAAACAGCTAACCTTTCTCCTGAAGCAAGACCTTGCTGTGGCCTTCTGCTTTAAGGGAGGGATGAGGGCCTTGTAGTGAAAAAAAAATCTCTACAAAAAGGGTATTTTTAGCCTGGCAGTGCTGGTGCATGCCTTTAATCCCGCCACTGGGTAAGCAGGAGCAGGAGAATTCGAGTTCGAGCCAGCTTGTCTACAGAGTGAGTTCTAGGGCGGCCAGGGCTGCACAGAGAAATCCTGTCTCGAGGAGAAAAAAAAGGAAAAAGAAAAAAATTCACTGGTAAGTAAACGGGAGTCTTTATTTTGGTTCTCTTCTTCGAATAAGCGAGAAACGGGGTAAGAAGACCATTAAAAATGTTGGAACTCTTCCAAAACGCTACTCCAAAAGCTAAAGGTAGACACGCGTTGCATGTCGGGATTTGCAGTCCCTTGGGGCAGGTGGGACACACGCGCGCGCGCGCGCCTGCGCAAAATGACGCGGCGCCGTTCCGGGCGCATGCGCGCCGCAGCGGCGCCAGGGCCAGTTGTCTCCAGCTGCCGGTACGCGGTCCTTGCTGAGAGAGAGAGAGAGGCATGGCGGTGCCCACGTCGATCCTGGGGCCCCCGCCGGTCAGCCAGAGCGGCCCCGGCTCGATGGCGCCCTGGTGCTCCATGAGCAGTGGCCCGTCTCGCTACGTGCTCGGGATGCAGGAGCTGTTCCGAGGCCACAGCAAGACGCGCGAGTTCCCGGCGCACAGTGCCAAGGTGCACTCGGTGGCCTGGAGCTGCGACGGCCGTCGCTTGGCCTCGGGGTCCTTCGACAAGACGGCCAGCGTGTTCCTGCTGGAGAAGGACCGGCTGGTGAGCTTGTAGGGCTTAGCCCGGGCCGGGAAGAGGGAAGGACTTGGAGGAAGAGGGAGCCGGAGCGGGAGGAGGGGCGGGCCGGAGCGGGAGCCGTCCTTGGTGGTGGTGGTGGTGAGGCTGGAAGAGTTGGGGTGACAGATAGAGTGGGGTAAGGCCGCCTGCAGGAGAGCGGAGTGCGAATCCAGTGGCGGCAAAGAGGTGTGGCGAAGGGGCTGCGGGACAGGAGAGGTTGAATCCGGCGGCCTGGAATGGTGAGGCGCCCTGGGAAGGAGTCCCTGGCGGGGAGTGGCTAGGGACTGATGGAGCGTCCCCACGGTGTCGAGGTTTTATTTGACAATGACAGCACACCCTTTGGAAATGGACAGGTGGATTGGGATGATGGTGGTGGTAGAGGAGAAAAGAAGGAAGGGAGGGCAGGAAGGGCAAGCGGAAGAGCCAGCGTCGAAGCTCAGAGCCCTTCACAGGGGCCGACGTTTTGGAAGGGACTGGATTCTTTTGAAGTGTCCAGATCTTTGCTGGTTCCAGTGTGCCACCGTTGGATGAAAGTCAAGTTACATGGAAGCAGGAGCATCTGTGTGAAGTGGCATCTGGGTTCTGTTCTCTTAAGGTCAAAGAAAACAACTACAGGGGGCACGGAGACAGTGTGGATCAACTTTGCTGGCATCCAAGCAACCCTGACCTGTTTGTCACCGCATCTGGAGATAAAACAATTCGCATCTGGGACGTGAGGACTACAAAGTGCATAGCCACTGTGAACACTAAAGGTAACCTCAGAGAGAGGACGGAGCAGAAAAGCTAATGTAGTTTCCAGAAGCTATTTACTGTGTTCTTTGCAGCTAGAGCTGCTAAGTGGGTTATCAGGATGGGATTTACATGTCCGTCTGGAGGAGACAAGGAAGAGTAGAACGTGAGCACTTTTTTGATCATCTGCAGTAGTTACTGGTCGGAGTGAGTGGGTGAGCAGTGAAAACAATACAAAGAGGAATAAATAGTATGTGTGAAGGCGTGGAGAATTTGGGAGATTCTGGCAGGTTAGAATGGCTGAAACTTGGATGGTCTTGGTTTCAAAGAAATGGCTGGACAGTTGTGCATTGCATTCAAACGCTGTGTTCATGTTATATAGTACCCTGTAAATCTTGTGTCTAGCTTAATTGACTCTTAAGAGGTCATTTACAATTTTTTCAGAAGCAGTTTTTTTGTTTTTAGATCTTTTGTTTTCTTTTTTAATAATTTATTTACTTTTATTTCATTTGCATTGGTATTTTGCCAGCATATATGCCTGTGTGAGGGTGTCAGATCTTGGAGTTAGACAGTTATTAGCTTCCACGTGGGTGCTGGGAATTCAACCTGAGTCTTTTGGAAGAGCAGTCAGTGCTCTTAACCACTGAGCCATCTCCCTAGCCCTAGATTTTTTTATTTTCAAGTATGTGTGCAGGTGCCGGAAGAAAGCACCTTATACCTTATAGATGCAGTTACATCTGGTTGTGAACTGTGGGTGCTGGGGATCGAACTTGGGTCTCCTGGAAAACAACAAGTGCTCTTAAGTGCTGAACCATTTTTCTAGCCCCACAACAAAATTCTTTTTATTTATTTATTTTTAAACAATGCCTTTTTGTTTTGTTTTTTGAGACAGGGTGTCTCTGGGTGTTCTAGAAGTCTCTCTGTAGACCTGGCTGTCCTCTCTCTGCCTCTGCCTTCTGAGTGCTGGAGTTAAAGGTTTGTGGCGCCACCACCACCCAGCTCCCACAACAAATTCTGATAGACTTTAAAATGTACGATATGTACTAAAGTGTGGGAAAATGGCATTTTTGATTCAATGAGGTTGAACATTTTAACTTAATGTGCACAGTGTGGACGTCTCCTGGACTTTGATGACAAGACTGGTACCTGGGAGTGACATAGTGTGGTGCTTTTTGACAAGGGTTTAGCTGCCAGTGGCAGCTTCCTTCCTTTGTCTTGGTGATTTGAGCACTGAGGAGAGCTCTGATCTTCTTTCTAGGGTAGCAGAATAAGCTTCTGGAGGAGGATGGGCAAGGATGATCTTGCTGATGGCTTGTATCTGGGTTCCCAGGGGAGAACATTAATATCTGCTGGAGTCCTGACGGGCAGACCATTGCTGTGGGCAACAAGGATGATGTTGTGACCTTTATCGATGCCAAGACACACCGTTCCAAAGCAGAAGAGCAGTTCAAGTTTGAGGTCAATGAAATCTCCTGGAATAATGACAATAACATGTTCTTCCTGACCAATGGCAACGGTTGTATCAACATTCTCAGGTGAGGGGGTTCTGGCTTGGGGGACTGTTGTACCTCTGCACGGGGTGCTATGTCAGGGATGTAGATGAGTTAGGTGTGAGCCTAACCTAGAAGACTTGAAAGAAAGAGTATTTAAAAATACTAGTTTCCTTTAGGCACATTTGAGTTCTGACTGATATTGGTTGTAAATGTTCACTTCATTATCAGATAGCTGGCCCAGGGACTTAGTGCACCCTGCATCGTGGCTAATTCACGCCCTTAAAAATGCCAGCTTAAGTATCATGTTCTAGCCCAGTCACTGCCATCGAGACAGGGTTTCTCTGGCTGTCCTGGAACTCACTCTGTAAACTTTCATCCTTCTATCCTGCTTTCTCTCCACGATTAGAGGATGGTTTTAGTGTATCTTACACATTTCCTGTAAGAAGCTCCTTTCATTTTGTTTTGGTTTTTGAGACAGGGTTTCTCTGTGCAGCCCTGACTGTCCTGGAACTCACTCTGTAGACCAGGCTGGCCTCAAACTCACAGAGAACTGCCTGCCTCTGCCTCCTGAGGGCTGGGGTTAAAGGCGTGTGTCACCACTTCGTGGCCAGGAAGCGTTTCTTAATTCTGTATTATAATGTGTATTTGTTTATTTCTATCATTATACTACCAATGTCATGGTGGAAAGGACTGTGCTTGCCTTGTTTTCCACTGAATTGTAACCAAGTGCCTGTCTTAGTAGTGGAATCTCAGTAAATATTTGTTCTATAAGTAAATGAAAATGTGGTACTGAACTCAGGTCCATAAGAACCTGTGCTCATTGCAGTGCCAGTGAGTAATGCAAGGCAGAGGGGGCATAGACTCTGTGTGGAGATGTTGGAGTTAAACAAAACAAAATTCATCATATTGGCTGTGGACACTGAAGGAGTTATATGTTTAAAAATTTGTAGGTACTTTGCTGTGCTTCTTTGTATTTCCCGTGTTGGATAGTTTTGCTAGGTATAACTGTCCTGGATTTGTTTTCTTGCTTCTGTGTCCTAGGTGTGCCATTGTCACTCTTTTTTGTTTTTGCAGCAAGGTGGTGCTCTCAGAAAATCCAGAGAGGATGTAATGTTCTGTGATGCCACTAGTTTGTCTTGGTGTTAAATGGTGTAGGTTCATACACTTAGGCCTGTGCTGTGCTCTTTTAGTAGCTTGAGCAAAATTTTTCCCCCCTTAACTTTAGGGAAGGTTTTTGTTGTGGTTTTTCTCTTTCGGTGTTTTGTGCCACAGTCCTCTTCTGCATATTGACGGCCGTGTGTCCTGTTTCTCAGCTACCCCGAGCTAAAGCCTGTGCAGTCCATCAATGCCCATCCTTCTAATTGCATCTGTATCAAGTTCGACCCCATGGGGAAGTATTTTGCCACAGGAAGTGCAGACGCTTTGGTTAGCCTCTGGGATGTTGATGAGCTAGTGTGCGTGCGCTGCTTCTCCAGGTGAGTGACTGTCAGCCTTTCCTGTGGGACATAGCCATTGTTCCTTCCTCCTCTGGGTATTTCTGACGTTTCTGTCCATCCTCTGATAGGTTGGACTGGCCTGTGAGAACCCTCAGCTTTAGCCACGATGGGAAAATGCTGGCATCGGCCTCGGAGGATCATTTCATTGACATAGCTGAAGTAGAGACAGGTGACTCCGTTTGAACCCTTTGTGTCTGTTGTCTGGCCTCAGGCCTTTTCCTGCCACGTTTTAGCTGTGCACACCTCTGCTTCACCAGCACTATCAGAAATGGATTTGTCTTGTTGAGACACGCGTGTTGATGACTGTCAGTCTCGTGCAATGATGGGATGGAAGGACAGGAAAAACGTGTCAGGTTTGACAGGAAGTGGTGTCAGGAGATACTTTGCATTTGCATTAGCTCTTCATTGTAAAAACTGTATTTTTTTTTTTTTTTTCTGAGACAGGGTCTCACTTTGTAGCTCTCACTGGCCTGGAACTCTGATGTAGATGAGGCTGGCCTTGAACTTACAGAGATCTATCTGTCTCTGCTTCCTGAGCGCTGAGATTAAAGTGATACACCATCATGTCTTGCTAAAAGGTTTTTAAATAAGAGACAGAGGGTGGGCATTTGTGCGTGTTCCATCCCAAACCCTACTGCCCCCCTTTCTGGCCCCTCCCATCACTTTTCTGTGTTCCTCAGTTTTACTTCTACTTTGAAGTAATTTGTAAATACATGATTTTATGCATCTCTAAAATCTAGGGCCCCCAAATGAGAGAAAACTTGGGGAGTATTCATCTTTCTGTTGAATTTCTGTAGCTGTGATAAAACACCCTTAGGAAAGCAGCTTGCTGGAGAAAGGACGGTCTGGTTCACAGTTAGGTTACAGCCCGTCATGGCAAGACAGAGAGCTATGGATGCATGCCTGTGCTCATCTTCCCTTCCCCTTCATTCAGTCCAGGGCCAGCCCCTGAAACTCTCGTTCCAGTGGGCGGGTCTTTCCACCTCACGGAACCCAGTTAAAGCCTCTCACAGACAGAAAAGGTTGTTGACATTCAGACTGTTCAGCATAGCCCTAATGGGACATCTGTAGTATGTAGGCTACTTCTGAGAGGACCCCATATGGACCTGTGTGTTAAAGAGCTGGTTATTAATCCTGGGTGAGCATTAGGGCAGGCTTCCTAAACTTTCTCCAGTCAGTCGCCCAAAGGGGTTAGCTACAAAGTTGCCTGAGAGTTTTCATGTGACCTTGAGGATATAGGCGTGTAGAGCAGGATGGCACCACCCGAGGTGCGTGGGGTCCTTCCCCATCAGTCACTAATTAAGAAAGTACCCTCTAGGTCTGCCTGCAGTCAGAGCTTATGCAGGCATTTTCTCAGTTGAAGCTCCCTCCTCTCCAGTGACTCTAGCTTGTGTCAAGCTGACATTAACTAGCCAGTTACAGTACTCATTTGTAAGGCTGCATGGTTAACTGGGAAACATTTCAGGATTTTATTTATTTATTTTTTTAAAAATGTATGTTCGTATTTGGTCTGTATGTATGTCTGTGTCAGGGCGTTAGATCCCCTGGAACTGGAGTTATAGCCAGTGGTGAGCTACCATGTGGTTGTTGGGAATTGAACCCAGGTCCTCTGGAAGAACAGCTAGTGTTCTTAACTGCTAAGCCATCTCTCCAGCCCTCTGGCTTTTTCATGATTGCTTTGGTTTTCTTGGGTTGTGTGAAATTTTTACCTTAACCAAACCCATAACAAATGATAGAGAATTAAACACCTAAAGAAAAGTAAGAGTCATGGAGTAGTGAGTGCCCCAAACCACTGGGTGTGTCCACATAGCTTAGAAATTATTCAGACAAGTTATAGAGCTGTCCCTGACATAGAATTACTTTAAATACTTCATATATATGTAAACATAAAAATATGTACTATATATGCTTACATTTTTATAGTATGCAATATAATTTTTTGGTCATGTATTGACCCGTTAGATGTATACTACAGTGTAAGTCTTTTGTAAAAACAGAAGAAAACTATTTATTTGCCATGTATGGCTATTTTTCCTGCATGTATATCTATATCATATATGCCTTTTGCTCACAGTGGACAGCAGAGGGGGTTGGATCCCTTTAGACTGGTGTTAAACAGATGGCTGTGAGCTGCTGTGTAGGTACTGGGAATTGAACCTGGGTCCTTTAGAAGACAAACTGCTTTATTTACTGTGTGTGCCGTTTCTTTAGGTGTCACTTTGTTAAGACACTGCTCCCCCCTCAGTGGTAAAATAGTTTAAAAACTGCCTTACAGGGAGAGGGCTGTCTTTGGCATTTCTTAGAGAGTATAGAGTAGAGGTCCTTGCGTGTGACATCTCTGTGCCTTTGTGTTCTCTGTGAGTACTTAATAGCATTCTTTATGTTGGTTCCTGTAGGAGACAAGCTGTGGGAGGTGCAGTGTGAGTCCCCGACTTTCACCGTGGCGTGGCACCCCAAAAGGCCTCTCCTGGCATTTGCCTGTGATGACAAAGATGGCAAATATGACAGCAGTCGGGAAGCTGGGACTGTGAAGCTGTTTGGGCTTCCAAATGACTCTTGAGAGGAGGACCTGAGCGGGAGAGGCACAGACTTTCAGTCGTATATAGTGTGATCTGTTCTCTTGGACTTTGTGGGCACTCTAAATGCTATAAATTGTTATAAATTACAAAAAACTTTGGTCAGACTGTGCAACCCTAATCCTCCCTGAAGTGACCTTACTGTGATAGGGCTCCATCCCCCCACTCCCCTTTCTGGTTTTTGTTTTTGGTGTTTGTGTTAGCTGTTTTCCATCGTTACCCCTATTGCCAGTTACCTAATGAAGACTTTGTTCATAAGTATGGGTCATGATCCATTTTATGGTTCTTTAAGGGAACAGAACTGATGGAACACACACACATACACACCACACAGGATTCATCAGAGTGGCTTACAGCTTGTTTTCCGAGTAGTGCAATGACGGATGTCTCCTGATGGAAAGACCAAGACTGGACGGATGTCTCAGCAGTGCTAATCTGACTGGAGTCCTGAGGAATCCCTGGAGAGCTGCTACGCTGGAACCCTGAAGAAGTAGGTTCTGATACCAGACAAGGAATGTCTCAGCAGCAGGACCGGTGAACTTGGCAATGAGAGTGAGGACAGGCAGGCAAAAAGCAAAAGCTTCCTTTTTCCCATGTCTTTCTATAGGCTGCCACCAGATGTGTGGCCCAGATTTAGGGTGGGTCTTGGCACCTCAGATGATCAAGAAAAATCTCTGGCAGGTTTGCCCAGCTGGCTGGGTTTTAGTGATTTCCAGATGCAGCTAAGTTGACACCCAAGGGTGGCCATCACATGCCTGGCACAGCACGTCCTCCGGGAGGGCCCTGTCTTCTGCGTTCTGTAAGCGGCAGAGCTTGTTGTGCTTGGCGCTGCACAGGCCATGTTTATTCAGAGGGAGCACAGCATAGGGATGACGTTTTTAAAAGTAATTTTAAGAGTTGAGCATTTAATAAAAGTGGCTTTTACTATGAAGCTTCTGAAGTTATGTTACTGTTTTTTTATCCCAGGAAGATTCTGTGGTTTTTAAATCTTGTTTTGTTTTTAAATCTGAGAGGTAGAGTTTATAACCCTGTTTAACATCCTAACCAAGAGCTCTGAACTACAGTGTTGGGTTGCTGCAGTATTTTAAAGCTATTTGATTATGGGCTGTGTGTCTGGCCTCATTCTGCCTGTTTTTTTTTTTTTTTTTTTTTTTTTTTTTTTTTTGGTTTTTACGAGGCAGGGTTTCTCTGTCTTGTTTTGGAGGCTATCGGTCCAGCCCAGCCTCGAACTCACAGAGATCCGCCTGCCTCTGCCTCCCGAGTGCTGGGATTAAAGGCGTGGGCCACCACCGCCCGGCTCTGCCTGGTTTTGTATATAACAAATTAGGGCAAACATAGAGAAACATTTTAAAACAAATAAATACAAAATCAGATTGAAACAAATGTAAATTAGAAAGTCAAGGTGGAGAAAATGTAATAGAAATGTGGAGAGGTGGCTCAGAGGTTAAGAGCACTGACTGCTCTTCCAGAGGACCCTGGTTCAATTCCCACAACTCTATTTCCAGCACCAGGGTATCCAACACCCTCATATAGACACGCATGCAAGCAAAACACCAGTGCACATAAATAAAAAGGAGTCATTAAAAAAAACGGAATATGTGAAGAGTGAGGACCTACACGGATGACTCAACTAACATGACTTTGAACTTCCTTACAGCCTACAGAAGATGGAGCTAAGTCTGTGCTAACCCTTTGTTTTTGACACAAGTTCTCATCATGTCGCCCAGGCCAGTCTGGGACTGGCTATGTAGGCCGAGTTGTCTTTAACTCACAATCCTCCTGAATGCTGTTACAGGCAGCTATCACAGTTGTTGTAGGGATCTTTCTAGAATAAGCACTCTGGCACCAATGTGAGGAAGAGAGATGCCACTGGTGGGCTGTAGCTCCCCAAATGCCTCAGGCCTGGGTCCAGTTTGTATCTCATTTATACTTTAAAGCCACAAGGTGGCGCGAAGAAGCAATCTCGATTTCCCGACTTTCCAGAGGCATACTGGCAGTCAGGTTGTTAGGGCAACGGTCCATTGTTTCAGGTCTTAGTCCGGGTCATTCTGTCCCAGGTAGTAAGCGAAGGAAGGCATGCTTGGCAAACAGGACAAGCAGTGCTTTAATAATCACTGAATAAGTCAATAAATCAGCATCAATAATTTCTCTTTTCTACTTCATCATGCCTAGCTTCTTCTTTTAATTAAAAACAATTTAGTTTTCATTTTACATACCAACCCCAGTTCCCCCTCCCTCCCTTTCCACCCCTCATGCACTCAGAGGGGGTAAAGCCTCCCTTGGGGAGTCAACAAAGTCTGGGATACCAAGTTGAGGCAGGACCAAGCCCCTCCCCTCATATCAAGGCTGAGCAAGGTATCCCACCATAGGGAATGGGCTCCAAAAAGCCAGTCCATGCCCCTGGGATAGGTCCTGGTGCCACTGCCATGCCCCCAACCCCCCAGCAGATCAAGGCACATAACTGTCACCCACATTCAGAGGCCCTGGTTCAGTCCCATGCAGGCTCCCCAGCTGTCAGTCCATAGCACCACTAGCTCAGGTCACACGCTTAGCTTCTTAAGAGAAATGCTGTCAGGGCTGGGGAGATGGCTCAGTAAGGACACTGTGTTCACTCCTTAGGGCCTGTGTGGAGGAAGGAGCGCATCAGCTCTAGAACGTTGTCCTCTGGCCTCCTTGTTGCGATTCCCATGGAGAAATTAGGCACTGCCACACACCATGTTCAGTATTATTGTTAGCACTTAGTAAGTTCTTGTAGTTTTAAATTTCTTACTGTTTTGAGACAAGGTCTTGCAGTGTAACCTGTCTGAACTAGTACTCACCAGGGTAGCCTCTAATTCAAAGCAGTCCTCCTGCCTCAGTCTCCTGAGTGCTGGGATTGCAGATACGTGCCTGACTTTAAGTCCTGAAGACATTTTTAGTCATGGCCTCCCCTGTGTCTCTATGGTAAGCATTTTGGCTGTTGCCAGTTCTTGTTGCCTTCTTAGGGTTATTTTCAGCTTCACAATCTTGGGAATTATAGGTGCTCACCGCTAGTCATCACCAGTCATGCTCAGATTCAGGTTTACTGGAAGGCCCATATAGACCTTAACTTTGTTTCTGCAGATGGCTTTTGGTGTTTCACAGGAGGGAGTCTAAAACCTTGACTGCTGTCCCAGCTGAGTGAGGTGATTTTCTGGTCTCAGTCTTGGGCTTGGTAATGTTTCTTCAGCTTCCCAGTGGCCTGAGCTTGGCACGTACCTTCCTTGCCACCATTAAGTTCAGGGCTGTTCCTGTCACTGGAATACACCTGGACACATTCAAGTTTTGTAATTCCTGTGGTCACTGCTGTAACATCCTGTGGAAAAGGATGTTAAGGGTGTGTGCAATTGATTCTCTCCTCATCAGCGTGGGGTTTTTCCTCCCTCAGTTTGGGAAAAGTGGTGCAGCTACCTGTCACTTAGAGATTAGCTGTCATCTACCCTTGTTCACTGGGGAAGAGCTCCCCCTAGTGGCAGTCTGTGCACAGCGCTTGAGCCCGTCTCGGCCTAGGAAGTTTTGGAAGTCAAGGGCATCCAGTAGGATGACATTGTGTGTCTTAGACCTGATGCTTCCCATCGTTTGAGTGCATTCTGTAGTAGGAGCTAGCGGGAGGCTGAAGATTGGCCAAGGACTGGATTTTAGTTGGCGAGGTAAAGCTGGGGTTTACTATTCGCTGACCTATCACGGTGTCGGTCTGAAGGAAAAAACAAGCTAAAGGTAAGAAGAAGCTTTATCTGGGCATGGTGGCTCCCACCTTCAATTCCAGCACGCAGGAGGCAGAGGCCAGCCTAGTCTACAGCATTTCAGGCTAGCCGGGACTCCAGTACTTCTGTGGCAGCCCTGGTACTGGGATGCAGGGAGAGTTCCCCCTGCCACAAGGTAAGATCGCATGAGGTGGGTGTGTGAGGAGTCTTTGTCCTGCCTCTCCAGACAAGGACAAGGCTTGGTAGACACAGTCCTGGCAGAGGATTAGGAGAAGGGCAGGGAGTCCTGATCACACGCTGGTATCCCCAGGGATGGAGAAATGGATCAAAGGACCAGGCCCAGCCCAGTGAAGGCCACACTGCCCACAGACGACAAGTGTGGTGTGTCACAAGGGAAGAAGGAAGCAGCAGCCCTGAAAGGCCTGTGTGTGCCCACATGCCCTGTGCGTGTGAGGAGCTGGCTGGAGAGTGTGATGTGTGGATGGGCTCGGTTTAAAGTGATAGGGAGGGGCAGGAGAGACGGCTCAGAGCTAAGAGCACTTGCTGTCCATGCAGGGGACTCAGGTTCTGTTCCAAGCACCCATGTGGTAGCTCATAACTCTCCGTAACTCCAGTTCCTGCAGGCTCACACCATCTCTGGCTTCCACAAACACTGCACTTGTGGCACATACATGCATGCAGATACAACACTCATAAAATACATAAATATAAAGATACAGTAAATATATGAATATAACAAGTGTTAGGTGTGTTCTTGAGTCCTTTAACTCTCTGAAGGGCAGATTCCATTCCATTCCATTAATCCTGGGAAGAAAGAACCATGGGATGCAGACCCTCTGTGGAAGGAAAAATCCCTCACAGAGTAGAAAGGTTTGCCCTGCCTCAAAGATCAGGGAGCCGGGATACCACACGAGTGCACTGCAGACTCGGCATACCTGTGTGCAGGAGAGTCTTGCCTGTTCTCCCATGACACAGGCACGGTGGTCCAAGCGACACCTCTTACTCTGAGCCTGCGGGTAGTGATAGACTGGAACCACTCTGATCACGCAGCTGTGGGCTAACGCGTCCCCTTCCCGCGGGCTGTGAGGACAGGGAAGTGAGGTAAAGTGTTTTGCACAGCACCTGGCACAGGGCATGCTTGACAAATGCTTCCCTGCAGGGAGATGGGGCAGCTCCCAGTGAGAGCTCAGGGGCTGGCTGCAGAGACCTGCCACTTGTCCCTCTGTCCCCCAGCGTGTTGGTCCTCCCACTCTCCACCCCACAGCCGAATGGGCCACGTCAATCACTTGGGCAGGTGCTGTGGAGAAGCTTCGGCCATCGCACCCTGCGCAGCAGTCGGTACAGTGACATGGTAGAGGTGACTTTTGCTTGCAGTGTTTTGGTGCATGATGGGTTTGTGTGTGGTGAAAAGGACAGTGTAACTCAAAACTGTGTGCCAGTGGGTAGTATGGAGAGGGCAAGGCTCCAGGTAGCTGGGGCACTTAGGAGGGGTGGGTGTGAGGAGGAGGTCTCAGTGCCAGTCTTGCTGGGTACAATGGGGTCATGTGTGCAGCAGAGGCCACAGGAGAGGGAGGGGGCTGAGGGGGAGGGCCTGGGCTCATCTCCTGAACAAAGGAGAGATGGAAAATAGTCTAGTGTAGGCTTTAATAAGGACAGAGCGGGGTGGAAGGGATTTGTAAATGAACATTTAATGTTTCTCAGCTCTTCACACAGCCTTAACACTATATTAGTTACTTTTTATTGCTGTGATAAAATACCGTGACCAAAAGCAACTCTTGGAAGAGTTTATTTTGGCTGATGGCTCCACAGGGGGAGTCCGTAATGGCTGGGGGAGGGATGGCAACAGGCAGCCAGAGCGGGCGGCTGAGCCATCCAGTCTTAAACAACAAACACAGAACCCAGAGCAGGCTGGATGTGGGGCAAGGCTATAAACTCAAAGCCCATCCCGAGTAACACTCCATCAACTCTGCACCTTCTAAAGGTTCCCTAGCCTCCCCAAACAGCACTGCCAACTGGGGACCGAGCCTATGGGGGACATTTGCATTAAATTTTCCACAGACTTCTTAAAAGGATTGTAAATTGAAAACTGTTTAGTTAGTAATTAAGATTTACTTCTGGTTTTTATTGTTTGAAATTATTGCCAAATGGACCCATAGTGCTTGATTTTTGTATTTTTTGTGGCATTGGGTCTCAATCCAGGAGCTCACAC